TTGACATCAGATCGGTACAATAATATCCGCATCCACCCTCAGGATCGGTGGAAGGCCGTTACCACGGAAGAAGGGTTATTCGAACCTACGGTTATGTTCTTCGGACTAACTAACTCTCCTGCATGTTCCAAGCCTTCATGGGAAAACTCTATCAGCAAGAGATAAATGAAGGATGGTTAGTCATCTACATGGACGACCTCTTAATTTTCTCAAAGACCTGGATGAACATCGAAGACGGACGAAGCGGTACTCGAACACATTACGAAGAGAGAAATTATTTGTCAAACCTGAAAAGTGCACCTTTGACGCAGAAGAAGTGGAATATCTAGGATGATTATCCGACCAGGGAAGTAGGGATGGAACCAGCCAAGGTCATGGAATAAAGCATTGGCCGAAACCAGAAACCTAAAAGACACGCGATCTTTTCTTGGATTCTGCAATTTTTACCGATCATTCATCTCCCATTATTCCGACATCGCACGACCTTTGATTGACCTCACAAAAAAGGATCACCCCTTCCAATGGACCATTGAATGCCAAAACTCCTTTGATCGCTTGAAAGGGCCTTTTTATCCCAACCAGTATTAAGAAACCCCCCAAATAGACAATTCGCCATCGCAACCGATGCCTCTCTTGCTGCAACAGGCGCAGTCCTTCTTCAAACAGATGAAAATGGGATGTATCACCCATGCGGATACTATCCCAATCATTCAATTCGCAGAATGAAACTACGAAATCTTCGATAGGGAATTGTTGGCAGTCATTAGAGCGCTCTCTGAATGGCGCCATTATTTGAAGGAAACCCCCATCCAGTGATTGTGTTTACCGACCACATGAACCTTCTCTATTTCCGAACTGCACAGAAGCTGTCTCGACGACAAGCACGCTGGCAGCTGACCCTATCAAATTTCAACTTGGAACTCCATCATGTCGCAGGAACTAAACTCGCCGCTCCCGATGCCCTCTCAAGACGACCGATCATTCATTAGGAAAAACGATAACGAGATAAATCCTTCTACCAGATTCCATGTTTGTGCGATTAATTGACGAGAACCTCTCTAAATCCATCGCCATCGACTCAGCCGAAACACCATCGTCCAAATAGCCACAGACGCATTGGATGGAATCTGTCTTCCGCCTATGAAGTCAGGTTGTCTGATTGGACACTCCATGAAGGAATCCTGTTTTATAAAAACAGGGCCTATGTCCCCCCTCTCAACGATCAGATGTCTTATTCAAGCATCATGACCATCCCACCGCCGGGCATCCGGACGTTTAAGACGGAAGAGTTAATTAAGAGGGATTATTGGTGGCCAGCCATGGGCACTTACATTCGGAAATACGTCGACGGTTGCACATTGTGCCAACAATGAAGGTGGACACCCATCCTACGAACCCCCATTATGCCCGATCCCCTCCTCCGCCACTCGACCCTTCTCTCAGGTCTCCGTGGACCTCATCACCGACCTCCTGAATCTGGCGGCTTCGATTCTGTTATGGTCGTGGTCGACCACGGGCTTACGAAGGGGGCAATTATTTCACCTGCAACAAGAACATCACCTCCGAAGGAGTGCAAAGTATTCCTTAAAAACGTTTTCAAAGATTCGGCCTCCATGATAAAGTCATCTCTGACCGAGGACCCCAGTTTATCTCAAAATTCTCCAAAGAACTAGCCAGACTCCTTGGATATCAAATCGCAGCATCCATGCGTACACCCCCAGACCGATGGACAGACTGAACACCTTAACCAGGAACTCGAAACCTACCTACGAATCTATTGCAGAAACAACCCCTAGAATGGTCGCAACACCTTCCCCTTGCCGAATTCGTCCACAATCATAGGAAACACGACGCAAGAAACACGTCCCCTTTCTTCCTATGATGGGATATGAACCAAGGGGATTCCCCACGTCCTAGCCGTATCAGACGTCCCCGCAGCAGAAGAAAGACTCAGGAACCTCCAGAAGACTCGTGAAGAAGCAATCGCTTGTCACAACATAGCCATGCAACGAATGGCAGAAAGATCTCGAAAAAGAAGTACCAACCGTGGAAGATAGGAGATAAGGTATGGTTAAACCACCAATCTCCTCACTTCCCTACCATCCAGGAAACTTGCGCCCAAGAGGCACGGGCCATTCGTAATCAGCAGTCTTATCCCCCATCACGTTCACCCTAAACTCCCCAAGCAATGGAAAGTTCATCCCACGTTCCACTTCTGAACTATCGTCCTATCGCGAAACAGAGATACACGGACCGAACTATACCGAACCACCGCCCGATATAGTCAATGGCGAAGAAGAATATGAAGTCGAAGCTATTCTTAGCCACAAAGGAGCGGGAAAACGAAGACGCTATCTCGTATCTTGGACCGGTTATTCTTCCGGGAGCAATGAATGGATACCCGAAGAGAATTTGCGGAGTTCGAAAGATCTCCTTGCAACGTATAAAGAGACACAAGTTGAACTGAACAAATCATTCCCTCAGACAAACAAACATTTCTTCAGTAACATGACTCCTCCCCAGACACCATCGCCCACCGAATCAAACATCTCCCACGTCTCTCTCAGAGACACATCCTATAACAGAACATCATCAACGTCACGACGATGCTATTGTCGAAACCACTCTATTATCACTCGCCCACGCAGAAGAGCTTGAAAGACAACTCGCCAAAGAACCTGCAGTCGTAGCAGCCCCCATATTATCCCAGATCCATGTCATACGCGCCACCGCCGCCCTTGAGCTCCGACTCAGAAGTCGAAAACGACGCCCTCAGACTTGCATGTCAACACATCCAGAGACACATTCGCAGTCTTGAGATTCAGCTTCTTCCTGCTGCTTTTAGCACTGTCTGCAAAACAGTTATACGAACTGTTGCCGAACGAACACGACCGAGGTCGGTCGCCCGCCAAGCGCTTCTGCTAGCGCTCCCCCCAGCATACCTGCTACAGATATACCTAGAGAAGAACCTCAGCCAGCACAGGCTGAAGAAGTATTACCCATCCCCGAGCCCGCCACCATCTACAAACGAAAGACCCGTAAGGGAACTATCGTACATGGAGTGATGAAGACCAGAGCTTCTAAAGGAAAGAAGCGCGAGGTCATGACCTCACCGAATCCCCCGACATCATCACGTAAAACAACCTCAGTTCTCCCCAGACAATTTCGTATGTGCGTCTGCAAGAAACTCGGGCATCGCCACAAGAACTGCCCCGAATACTACTGCCGTATATGCCAGGCTCATGCGCCTGGTCACTTCTCCATCTACTGCCCCTATGCTCCAAAAAGGAGCAATTTCCGTTGGTTTATACCGACGACGGCTTTTACGAGGTTTGGCAGCATGGGAAGCCAGGAAAGATGAAGAACTCCTAGTGGAGTTGGACAGAGCGAACACCGATACGACACACTGCATCGACGAGGAATTAGAATTCCAGAATGCTGACGCAGACGTCATCTACTACGCTCACATGGACGAGTACATCAACCAGGACGATTAATGTCGAAGTCGGTGACTTTGACTGTAATAACGGGGTAATGTTACGATAACATTTCTCTATCATTTCTTTTGTTCATTACGTACTAAACGGGCTGTCCGTACCTTCTCTTATCTCTTATCCAAGCGGGCCGTCCGCCCTATCGCTCTTATCTTGATAACACATTTACGAGCTCCGCTCGAACATTGCCTATATAGACTGTACTATGCACGATTATGTCTTTACTTTAATCTACTGGGTTTTACCTGGAACATTCCTTCAACAAGGTCTCCAACCTTGTTGTCTAAGAATCACGATTCTAAGAGAGTCAGCAACACTCGTCTTAGCCCAGATCCTTGATCCTCTCATTCGAGAGAAGACTCCTGTCTATCAGGCTTACCGCCGATTGTCCATCCGGACTCTGATAGCTCGACCAATCCCAGTCGTAACATTATGCATGTTTAAGCACACTGTTGGCAGCTGTACCTTAGATCTCGCACTCGTTCTACCTATGGATGCCTGAATTGGCCCACGTCGGCGTATGGATCAAGAACTGCGACTAACTCGACTTCGCGCACGGCCTGCTTCTTTATCTGAGTTTATTACACTTCATTCCATCATTTGTGGTGCTCTTCTCATTCCAGATTTTGCTCATGATGGAGATTATTTTCTTGTGGATACTGTGGATACTGACATGTTTCTTCGTACTGTACATTCACTACAGTTACATTAGTAATAACGGTTCATTGACATTACCTATCTCTTTTAAACTTGTCCAGAGTACCCTCCTTCCTCTTCTAACTCTCAAGTAAGGCTCCCCCATTTCATCACATATGTGTCTCACCACACTGACAAACTTTAATCCATGACCTTTCCAGCTTCTCAAAGCACGCTTCCCACTGCTTGGGGATCTTCGGGTCACCGTCTTTTCATATCCGCTTTCATGCTCGCATCCAAGGTCATCTGTGACAGCACTTACTCCAACAAATCCTGGAGTATTGTAGCCCAGGGTATGTTCCAATTGCGAGAAATCAATCAGATGGAGTGCAAGATGTATCAGTATCTGGAGTGGGAACTCAATGTGGATCCAGTAACGCTTAGGGAGTTCGAAGACATGGTCAAGAATCTTCGGGGTACTTAATAGACTATCAATCGTTCATCTCCGCTTTCTGCATGGGGACATGACACAATTATTGTCAATGCATTATGTATTTAAGTAAGTCGTGATGATGCTCTGTTTAATTTGTGCGTGTGATATTGATGTGATGCTGCCGCCTTATTACATCCACAGGGTCTCATTCTGATATTCGTCTGAACAACGCTGCAACCTTTATCAGAACCATCAATGCGCATCATTACATATATTCAATGAGTCTAAGGTGCGTATCAATTTGTTAGTTAATGTCATGACATGTCGTCGCCGCCCCAATAGCACATGCTAGGGTCAATTTAAAGCTCGTGCGATTGACTAACACTCCAGTTTTCTGTTCTCGACGTTTGCTTGACTGTTTCACTAATACTAATACTATGCCTCCAATTCAGCGCAACCAAGGCGAAGACTTCACTCAAGCAATCAATGACGTCGACAGTGACTCCACCCGCAACTCAGATGGAACTGATAGCCTTAGCGACTCAGATTTGGATGATGATGCAGACTTGATGCGGATTCGCAACACCATTGCTGCCCCAACCGCTAACATGTCAACTCAAGATCTTCGCAAGGTAACTGTCGTTTTGCTACACACAGACAATGTTTGTAGTAATAACTAATAATCATATCTACTAACAGGCGCTTGAAATCGTGCAAAAACTTCTTTTTGACATGCGTGGAAAGTACCGGGAATCATTGAAGAAGATTGCTTTACTCGAGGCTACCGTTTCGAAAGGTCGGAAGACAAAGCTTACAAAGAAAGATCTTGCCCTTGCTGCCAAGGAAGACAGCATCAGAAATTTTGGATGCAAGTTCTCTATCACCCACTGCTTATGGGTCGAAACATCTATTTTCCCCTTGCGTGAGCCACCTCCCAGAATTGACCTCTCAAGCAAGGAGCGATGGCTCTCACCGCTATCCATCCAGGATGGCATTAAAGCTGAACTTTTCCAATTCATACCGCCAGCTGACCATAATATGATGGCTCATAAAAACTTTGGCTCCCATGTAAGCCCTCCCATCTTTGATTGCGCTCGATGATAAACTTAGTCTGTCCAGTTTGTGAAAGGCGTCAATAATGTTCATGCCGAAATGCTCTCAGATGTCAAGTCATGCGCGGCAGCCATTTTTGGCTTAGATGCCAAGTTTTTTATACGCGGTTATGCATGGGACACAGAGCCTTCTTGCAAATCTCTGCTCCTTAACCCCCAAGGCCAGTACACGAAGTTTGCGCCGATTCTTTTCCCTCGTCCGGACCATCTCCTCAGAGATCAGTTTTTGAAAACAGCAAAACTTGTTTATGTAGGTTCTTGCCTCCCCTCTCTAAATAGAACTAACTAAATAGCATTTATAGATTCTGAAAGCGTCACTCTTTGGCCGGTCGTCGCTCGCTGCCAATGCAGTTCCCACTCCGAAAACAAAGGCGAAAATATGGGAGCTACGTGCTGTAACACCGGGTCTCATTGCTGCAGCAGCCATTGTCGTACGTGTTGTCTCTTATGCTGCACAATATTGACACTTAATACGAGTTTCAGGCTATATTTGTCCTTTCCGGTGACAAAGAGTTGGTTGAAGTTGGCGACAAATCTCGCATACCATACAAAGACTACCATAACTACTACCGACAATCGCTGTTGACTGGAGGTGCCTGGGCAGACAGAGTCTTCACCTTTTTCAACAACTCCTTGTTTTCCACTTCTTCTGCCGCAACTCTCCTTGATTCAGACTCGACGTTACTAGGCGACTTGACGAGTGGTCCGCGTGACAGCTGGGAAGAAATGTTTGAGCATGCAATGGAGACTGGGGCGGAACTACCAGAACTGAATATGATTCAGACGTCGTCGGTTGGTCCTGTCATCAAGCATCTTCTTCTGCACCCGGACCCCAGTCAATCTCTGCTGCCATGCAAGGTCTAGCTTTGGCCGAGCACCTACCACCTGCAGCAGTCGACGAGGACGTTGAAGCAGAGCCTGTAGCTCCTGTTGCTGCTCAGAAGCCGAAGCTGAAGCCGAAGCCAAGGCGGAAGGGCAAGGCTGCAGCTGCTGACAGTAACATTTCAGAAGATCAAGCTCCTGCCAATGTTGAACCTGAGGTTTCATCATTAGTAGTCAGTGGCAGTGGTGTGCGAAGGGGCCGATCAAAGACCACTAAGTAATATAATAGATTTTCTTCGTCTCATGTCACTCGTCGATGTACTTAGATTGTTCTTGATGTCGTTGGATTAGTAATACAATCAACAACAACAAACATTTGATGTGAAAGACTTGGAAGTCTTTCGTTCAACTTGTCATATCATTTCAACTATAAACAAAATTAAGTCTTGTCGTTGTCGACTGTCTCATGTCCTGCCAACCTCCACTCCCGTCGTCTCCTTGAACTTGTTGTGCCGCCGATGCCTGCAGCCTCCAACCACTCCCGTCGTCTCCTTGAACTTGTTGTGCCGCCGATGCCTGCAGCCTCCAACCACTCCCGTCGTCTCCTTGAACTTGTCGTGCTGCCGATGCCTCCAACCACTCCCGTCTCCTTGAACTTGTCGTGCTGCCGATGCCTCCAACCACTCCCGTCTCCTTGAACTTGTCGTGCTGCCGTTGACGCCTGCCTCCAACCACTCCCGTCTCCTTGAACTTGCCGTGCTGCCGTTGATGCCTGCCTCCAACCACTCCCGTCTCCTTGAACTTGCCGTGCTGCCATTGATGCCTGCCTCCAACCACTCCCGTCTCCTTGAACTTGCCGTGCTGCCGTTGATGCCTGCCTCCAACCACTCCCGTCTCCTTGAACTTGCCGTGCTGCCGTTGACGCCTGCCTCCAACCACTCCCGTCTCCTTGAACTTGCCGTGCTGCCGTTGATGCCTGCCTCCAACCACTCCTGTCTCCTTGAACTTGCTGTGCTGCCATTGATGCCTGCCTCCAACCACTCCCGTCTCCTTGAACTTGCCGTGCTGCCATTGATGCCTGCCTCCAACCACTCCCGTCTCCTTGAACTTGCCGTGCTGCCGTTGACGCCTGCCTCCAACCACTCCCGTCTCCAACCACTCCCGTCTCCTTGAACTTGCCGTGCTGCCGTTGATGCCTGCCTCCAACCACTCCCGTCTCCTTGAACTTGCCGTGCTGCCGTTGACGCCTGCCTCCAACCACTCCCGTCTCCAACCACTCCCGTCTCCTTGAACTTGTCGTGCTGCCGTTGATGCCTGCCTCCAACCACTCCCTTCTCCTTGAACTTGTCGTGCTGCCGTTGACGCCTGCCTCCAACCACTCCCGTCTCCTTGGACTTGTCATGCTGCCGTCGTGCCTGCCTCCAACCACTCCTGTCTCCTTGAACATGCTGCTAGGAATGGGATTTGGTCATCAACTGCCTCTCCGGGTCTCATCCATCCGTTTGTCCAAGGTTAGTAAGACTGATATCATATTCGTATTGTCTCCAACTCAAAAATTGTCCCCACCAGAATTATTATTTCAAAACGAAACGGGAGTGATTGAGGAACGCTTGGAACGCAATTGGGAGCAATTTTACAATATTATTATTAATAGTGCTATTATTATATTAAATAAAAGACTGCGTAATTTCAAGACCTTGGAAGGATACTTGTCGGTTCCAATGATATTCCAATTAGGGTATATAGAGCATTGGTCAAAATCTTGCCCTTGCATTGGAACGGTCTTGGGACCACCCACTTGCAAGACCCTCTATATTGCTTCTAAGCGGCTTCCAAAATTTTCGGGTTCCCTTCCAAGCGAGTTGTAATGCCGCCGGTAAATTGAGGCCTTCCAATCCATTTTAAGGCATGCCAACCAAAATTAGAAATTTCCGACAATTGACATTATAATGTGCATACACGCCTTTTACGCTTTGTTCTTGCCTTGTCCTACTTTACATTTATGATGTACCACCTCGTGGTTCTTACGGTACGCATCATCTTGCATATGTAATACTTACTGCACTCGTGTATCTGAACCACACTCTGTTTTGTGTTGCTGGTACGTAAGTACTGGATTTGATACATGCCCTTGTCATGATAAGATGTCCACGACTTGAAATACGATGGCACGTTGCAGTGCATGTCATTTTAAGAACGAGCAGGCCGGAATCAGGAGTCGGGGACTGGTGCGCAAGCACCCTTACGATTCAGTAGTCCCACACCGAATTGCCAATTGATAGCCTGACCTTGCCAGCTTGCCCTTAAGTTCCGATATTCTACAGTTTCGTTTCGTTTCTTCTTCCTCGTCGCATCCCCATTTTTCGTGCTGCGCCCACTACTTGGGGTGCACCTCTCAATTTTAGTCTCATTTGGTGTCTATTCGGACCTTGTAGTCTGAAGGTATCTTCGTTCAAAACACACTCCAAATATCTGTACCACGTTTTCGAAAGCCAGACTTCCTAGACACCTAGCGAATTTCCCAACACGATTCTTCTGGTTCGCGTTCCTCATCACCCGTTTCCCCGATATATTTGCTGACAATGAATCTCTTGCTCCCACTAATATCCGACCCTACCATACCCATATTTCTTTCATGATCATAAAGACGCAGCACTCTCGAGGCTTGATCCACAAGGTCGAGGTAGGCATCTCGCTGCTCACGCTTACTCTTCTCACTGTTCATCTCCCAGACCGCTCAACAAAACACATTGCTAGTTCAATAAAGATTATGATAGCTTCGTCATCATGTCTTCCTCTCTCGACTCCGGTAATGACCACTTAGACTTCTCGATGAAGTCCAGTGTCAAGTCACCTTCCTCGATAAAAAAGCAGTCAGATCTTCCCGAGGGCCGGAAACCACCATCCCGGTTTCACGCTCGGCTTTGCTTCACTGACATCTGCTACTTCTCTATCGGAAAGCTCAATCTTGAAGAACTTTGGCAGGAGGTGAGAGAGCAGGGCTGGAAGAAGCGTAACAGGCGCTTCCGGCACAAAGTGCTGGGTTTTCTCTGCATGGTAAGTATACTGTTCATTATCTTTATGTCTTGCAAGACTGATATGTCCGCTTTTGTAGCAAGGAGCGGCCTTTTTATTTATTTATTTCATGCTCATGACGAATCCACCCCAGGTTCAAGATGTTTCCACCGTACATTACGACGTGTTGGTTGCCTTATCATTCACGTGCTCGCTGGAGGGACTATCCTACCACTTTTTTTCTGGAGATCCGACGCGGATATCGAGATGCATGAAAGGATCAACCAGAGGGTAGGGTGATTTTCCTGATGGAGCCACTGTATGGCGCTGTCGCCGATCCAAAACAATCCACTTAGATGAAGAAACCGTTCCAGTTGTCGCATCGAAAAGTGCTGATTCACATTAGTCTCGTTTGCATGGCTAACCTTGCTGCCATGGGCTCTTTGGGATATCTCGCAGGCGGTAAGCGAACCTTTCTGGTTTGGATTCAACAGTTGTGCTGACATTTGATATTTTATCAGGTTTGATTTCGATTGTTCTGGGAGGTAATGCATTTACCTCTCATGCGGCGGCTGGTGCGGTCGCCCTGCTCTTGCATAAAATGACAGTGGTGGACGACGAACTAGTGTCCCTAATCTTGAATTCATTAGCTTCCATTCTATATTTCGGCATGGCCATGCGTTACATCAGTATGCAACAAGGGTAATTATCACTGGGTTTCTTTTTTGGTAGATTGTATGGTTGCCGCAGCCTATGTGCCATGTATCTTGATGCATTCGCTTATCGATACACCTTTCATCTGCGTTCACTTTTTGTTCATTATTTCACCATTCTTCAATAACCTTTCTTTTTAATGAAAACTGAGTTATTCTCCCTTCAAGTTCATCTTCTACTCTGAGTTTCTTCACCTATGAGACTACATCTTAGTTACTGACATTTATTATTAGTTGTTTCCATATTTCAGGGAACAGCGACGAAACATCAATGCATCATATTTTGGAATAACACCATGCTCACCTTGCATCACCTTGCTTTGCCTGCATGTATGCCAGGCAGAAGGTCAGCTGACGCACGTAGTCGATTTGCAACAAGCAAGTACTAGGAGGCATCATCGATATCGATATCAGCCTCATTTCAATTTCAAATTTGATCATTAAATAAACTGCAGAATCGTGTGAGATGCTGGTAATCTGATGGAGTGGTGGGACGGGCACGGACTACCAAGGCCAAACCTCTGTAGCAGGAGGCTATCTATCGAGGTCCGACTACGGCAACACAGCGTAGGACTACCGTCTGCAAGTCAATGCGCCAGGACCTGCGCCAGACCACCTTACTGCAGCGGAGGTACCCGATAAAAACACTCGTTTCATGGACAGAAATTGGAACCCAAACTTGTTTCTTCGCAAGGTTCACTGGATACAAAGGGCAAGGTCGCATTTTGGTCATAATCAAGTAGACTGGGTAATTATGTTTGGTAGAGTTGGCAGTGACATACAACGAACAACCAGGTATGTCGAACAATTGAGGGCTTACAAAAAACAGTGATATATTTGACGATAATCGATCTCCAGGTATTATTGCAGGTATAATTACATCTACGAGTGGGGTGACGTTAGTGATGTTAAAAATTGCCAAGTGGTGCAGCCATGCTCACCAGCCATTGCCAGAATGCTTCTATCTTGTTCTTTGGCGGGGGTTCCTCATACGAGTCCGCCACAATTTCAGCTATATCTCTCTTGAAGTCCATGTCCGCTGCAGCAATGGGCTTGGTGCCATAGTAGAGGCGAGCACCAAAGTACAAGATTGGCCAGGTAATGAAAAGGACGTAGTTGGTAACGAAAGTTGCAGTACTCCAATTACCTTCGAGGAAGACATTCCATCCGCTGAACTAGAGTGTAGAGGAATAGTCAGTCTAAACAGTATCAACGAATATGAAAAGTTGACATACGAAACAGATGGTGATCGTTGAAACTACTCCCCACCACGCTGCGTATGGCTGGAGATTTGTGTAGTAAGGGAGCGTCTTGCGGTCGATGCCTTGAACCTGCATGCCCTTGTAGAAGCGGAGGTATGTTACAGAAATACCAAACCACGTCATAAGGCCAGCGACGGATGTCATGTTGGACAACCAGTTAAACACTGAGCCCGCACCCTTGGACACAGCCATGAAGGCAAGAAAGGAGAAAATGGCTGTGAACAGAACAGCAACGTAAGGCAACCCGTTGCGTGTGGTTTTAAGGAAGATCTTGGGAGCATTTCCTGAGGCTGCAAGACCATCTACAAAGTTCGTTAATTTCGATGAGTTGGCCACCGGATAAGCATACGCACGAATCGCACGAGATGCAGTGTACAAGGAACTAGATGAGTTGGACCATGCCGAGGTCAACAAACAAGCATTGATGATCTGTTTTGAATAACTCAATAAGAAATCTCTAGGTAAAAAAAAGAGAAGGCATGTGCGGCTTACCGAAGGAAGAAATTTAATCCCAGCTGTTTCGATAGCAATGACGAATGGAGACTGGGCGGTTCCACTGTTCAATACGAGTAATGGGTTGTTGGATGGTACAAGCAGACCAATGATGAGTGTTCCACCGATGTAGAAAAGTAATATACGGATGTACACTCGACGGATGGCTTTGGGCAAGGTATGACGAGGATTCTTCGCTTCTCCAGCAGCAATCTAGGTGGGATTCGTAAGTAATATATTTATTGATAGCCCTGGAATATAACGTACAGCAACAATTTCGGTTCCAATGAACGAGAAAGCAGCCTGGATCAGAACAGCCCACCAGCCAAGGAATCGTCCCTTGGCACCTTGAATGCCATTATACTGAACGAATGGTCCAGGATTTTTCCAGTAGCGGAATCCAATGCGGTCACGGTTTGGGCCACCTCCCAAATCGATGATTATGCCGAGAATAATAAGACCAGTGATTGTGATGACCTTAATGGATCTGCAGTAATCTTAGAATGCGAGATCGGGATATAGTATTCGGTACGCACGCAAATATGAATTCCGCCTCGCCGTAAGCGCCAGCACCGAGCGTATTAATGGCGACAACAACGGCAAGGCATATGACGACCCATACTGAATCATTGACAGTGTAATTCCAATAGTTGATCAATAATGCAGCAGCAGAAATTTCAGCTGAGATGATAAAAAATGTCAGCAGGCATGTCAAGAAAAGGCATCCAACTCAAGTACCAGGTGCTGAAAAGTAAGAGGTCAGTAATTGTGAAAAATGAACGAGGAAAAATAAGACGTACAACCAATCGCCCAGTCATACCAGTAATTCCAACCCATAGCAAAAGAGAACGCAGGGTCAACGAAGCGCTCGGCGAGTTTGATGTGACCACCAGGTATAGGTAGGTAAGCAACCTATGAAGATGAAGATCAGGTATGTGGTCTACGTTTAGGACGTGCAACAAGCATACCATTTCTCCCAAACTAATCATAACGCAATAGACGATGGTGCCCATCACGATGTAGCCGAGCAACAGACCGATGGGGCCTCCATAACTCAGAGAGTTTGCGGTTCCAACAAAAAGACCAGTACCGATAACACCGCCAATACTTGACGGAGGTTGGAATTCGCCAGGAAAGAGAAGAAAATTAAACACACCTGATCATGGCAATGTGACGATTCTTGAGTTTACGTTGCAGGGTGTACCGCGAGGGCCCCTGAAGAGACTCTCCATCATGGCCTGAGACGTCGGAGAATTCGCCTTTGCTAGTGTGATCAGCAGTAGCGTCTGTCTTTTCGGCACCCATTGTGGCGAGCGGTCGTGAGCGAAAAGGTAGGAGGGAAGAGATAAGACTTCAAGCTAGCCACGACCCATGCTAGATATATGAGCGTTCTGTGGTCAATGAGCCTATAGCTATCAGCATGTCGACATAGAGAGGGCCTACCGATCGAATTCTACCACATATGTCAGTTGCGGAGAAGTGGCGCAATAGGGCGGGTGATGGCGTGTGATAGGGCGTGATAGGGCGTATGATAAAACGCCATCTTGCAGCAAGGGTGGCCAGCATGGCGTTTGCATGACGTTCTACCCAAAAAAAAGTGGGCTAGCCGGAAATCTACCATGGGGACTGTCGACAATCAAATCTTTTCGGCCGATTCTGCTCATCATGATATTGATCTATGACAAATCAACTGTCATAGTTTATGAATAGTTAGTAGTGATGATTATGATTCATTTCACCGCGACCTCACCGGAAGGCTAAGACTCAGTGGCACATAATTCTTCTTCAAATTCTTGCGCACCCTCACACGACTGGGATAGATGCTTTAGATGGTGTGGAGGCTCGTGCGCGTGAAGACCTGCCTATAATCCACGCAGCAGTGGTTGCAGCACAAGTTGTCGGGCATGTAGGCGCTGAGTACTCTAAAAAACCCGATCACGCGGAACTGTCACATATGTCACATTTGGCAAAGAATTTTAACGGTGCCTGTAATGGGAAGAAACCAGCAGCCTCCTACTACAGCTGATCTCCAGCCTGAGAATCAGACGTTCAAGGAAAACAGGATCGATTGGGGGTATCGCAATTCCTATGACCTCTCATTGGACTACAAGATTGCGAGATAACGCAGCGCATTCGGTCACGGTACTTAGTACAACCTCGCCTAGATTTTGCCCTGACATGTGCTGCTTGTGCTAAGCGGTGTGCCTTCATAAAACTGCCTGGGCGGATGAAACTTTAGCGCTATAGCATTTTGGATATTTGATCAGGCATTCAAATTTCAAACAATCCTTCTGCAGGAATAGAACTGCTTTGTCTGTCCTGTAGTGGTTGTCAGGGATACTGTATGTACCATTACATATAATGTTAAGCCCTACTTAATAACAACAGTTTATTTCTTCAGTTTATTGGCCAGTTTATTTTATGCAGAAAAGCTACCCTAGTCTGAGTGTGATCAGCGTCTCAGTGAATATTCATGTGGCCTGCTTAAGAAACATACACGAGGTTGCACATTGAAATATTGAAACATGGTCAAGGAACTTGTCGAGAACCTAGTGATTTGCAATGTGCGGCTTCCACATAAGGAAACTCTCGGAAGCCTTTGGACAACAGACCAAAACAACGTGTACGCGTTGCTCCGAGTCAGACTTTGAACACTACTGCTTTACCACGGTGAATTCTGATATCAACACAAACCCTGTATTATGCGTGCAGCTTCATGCCTCTGACATAATTATGATAACAAAAGTCGCGCGTGTTGATATGCCTATCTCAGGTTGAACAAATATGTGATGTATCTTCAACTTGAAGTGATCCAAAGTCATGAAGCTGTTGACATCTCAAGCTAGTCCAGAGAATGCTACCCTCATATCATGATAATGAGGGTATTATGTGCCGCGTTCTCTCTGTTACATTGCCACCTAGCTCCTGATATCTTCACATAAACGCTAATGTCAAACCATGGTTTCGATCTGAAAAAGTATTTCGGTGTCCACTGTCCATTGAGTGGTTAGATGATATCAAGCCCTCCAATTCTCACCTCTGCGGCAAGGACTAGGCTGGGTCACAACCCAATGAACAGTGAAGGTAAGTGTCTCTGCACGTTTACAATTAAACATGCAACTGACACTACATATGTCAGAAGTTTCAGGCCTGGGGTGCTTCGCACCTTCACATCTTACGTTCCTCTACGGCGCAATATTCAGCTGTAATATATCAGCTGCCCGCTTGTACTGCAGGTCGCTTGTTACTGTTACCATTGTCAAAGCTCGCGGTTGTAGTTGAGTGTGCCGTGACCATCTTTCACGAAAATCTCATTGTTGCGATACTTCGAATTTTGATGGAGTTGTACTGTTGCACGCACTAGTAATGTCATATCCTTTAGTGAGCAAGCGCCAGTACTTACTTCATCGCCCCCACGCGCGTCTAGGTCTAACAAAGGATGAGCGACGTGTGGTGAAAGGTTTGTGCTTTTGTGGATTGATGCACGCATGGTGCTTCAAAGCAGTTGAATAGACGCCACAAATATGTGAAGTGACCACACACGCTTGCCTTTTTGCGACATGTTGTCGGGACATAGTGCTCGTCCACAGGCGTGCTTTGTATCGCGCTTCTCCACATGTTGTGAGGTTAAAAACCTGGCGTTCTCTCCTTCACTTTTCTATCTCTCGCCCTCTTTCCCTTGCCACTTCATCTTAGCCATTTGATATTGCTTGTTCAAATCATTGATATGTCTAGGTAAGTCTACTGACATGTCGACTCGGTATATGCTGACAATGCCTTCCGCATTTAGTGCCTCATACGACAGTCTTCAGATGTCGATGGATAGGTTAGTATTCAATCTCGTGTCGGATGACGCGCTCCATCTCATAATTTTTTTAGCGGGACTATCCTTTCGTGTTCTCAACCTGGAATCCACACAGAGGCCATCGCTAACACGGTCTCGGAAGACGCTCAAGAGTTATTTTATCCCGAAGATGTGTCCGCCATCCGGGCTGAGTATGTAGTTCTACCTCGATCCAAACATCGACTCAACTGACGGCCTGTGGCAGATGGGCTCGGGCCTGCGAGGAAGATGAATACCTAAAGGCGTATCACTGGTACGTGCCACCCCAACTGAGTGTCCGCCATTGCTCATTCATTTTTCCAGGTCTTCAGCATCTTTACCGGATGTTCCAAATACTCAGATGTCGTTTCCAACGTTGAACCAATTCACCGCTCCGGTGGCTGGTCTCCTCCAGCTTCCCCCATTCGATCCGAGCCAACACTATTCTCCGCAGCCCTTTTCCGTCCCTCAAGCGTCGCTGGAAGTCCCTGTATGGTCCCAGTATGGCTATGATGGTGGTTCGTATGCGCATGGACCTAATTTTGCGCAAAATTACTTTCCCACTGTCGTCGACCTAGAGCTTTGGGCAGCGGGGGATCCTCGCGCATATGACCCCCGACCTCCATTCTCTCAAGAGCAAAATACGCACTTACAGGCTGAAGTGTCTATCCCCTCGACAATGGATTATACCGGCAACGCATACGCTAGTGCCATCATGGACACGATGTCGGATACCGAAACCTTTTTGCCGTCCGCGTCTGACTCTGACGCGACAATGTATCTGAGTGATGACAACAGCTTGGAGCCATCTTCCTCCGCCCCCAATGGGCAGATGTGCGCCAAACGTCCCAAGCGTAAAACTCGCCATACCGTTAAATCCGAGGAAGATGGTTCCAGTTCATCTCCCGCGCTAACCACCCGCAAGCGCAGATGCTTGGACGATGACGAAGAAGAAATCAGAGAGGGGAAGTTTGGTTTTTACAGACTAGCGGACGCTACTGCCGTAGTCATGGGTATGCCCGTTCACGACCCGAAGCCGGTAGATATCAGCAGGCGCAGGACTCATGATGCCCATGGTAATCTTCTTCGAACGAGGAGATTTGGGGCGATGGAACTCGACGATTCCTACTCCAAGCGGTCCGTCAAGATTACGAACGAACTACCCGCAGGGATGACTTGCGTACGAGCATGCGGTTGGACGGACCAGCCCTGCGGGCTGTTCGTAGAAATGAACAAGGCCCGCGTCGCATATCACCTGTTGCACTGGCACGGTGTCAAATCCACAGACACGGCTGCCTGCAAATTCGAGGATTGCTCAAGATCAGAGGCGATGCTCAGTTTGGGCCGTCACGTTGAGAGCGTCCACTATACTACGTCTTGCGAATGCCCTTATTGCGGAAAGCGGTGGTCGAGATCCGATTCTTTGGATCGGCATCAAGCGACATGCGGACCACTCCTTGAAAGCAAAGACCGTGCTAAGAAGGGACGTCGCAAGTTCACTCTCCAAGACCCGAAAAAATTGGTCTACGGGTATATTGTTCCTGCCCGCAACGCGACATAGTCTAGCGTACGACTGTATGTCCCCCTTGGCCTGCCGATCTGTCACTCTTGCTAACTTCCTGTTGCTGTGATCTAGTATTTTCTCCGATTCTTCACGAACCTTGTCTATCTCTACGACTACGATACTTGTTTCATTCTTTTATATATTGGGCCAAATCATTGTACAACACTCACACTCCTTTTGCATCGAATGTTTCTTTTTCTCAGGGTGTTTTCCTCTCTTCATTATTGCTTGGTGTATCGTCTATATGTTTATCGGATAAACCTTATTGCACGCTGGACGTAGTTATCGTATCTCACCATGTCGCTCGGTATATGTTCTACATGCTTGTTGGATGGAAGTTGGATGACGGAGCTCTGGAGCTTGGAGTTTTGCATCGTACTTAATTATGGATCAAGAATGAATTTGACATGTTATGTTGCATTTACGTCTTCCCTGACACCGCCCATGCTTTGACAGCCTTCATGCATCTCTATCGCATATCACCTTGAACGACTCTTGGGTACTCGCGATCAATCAATTTCTACTCGATACCCATGCTAGCCTGACCTTCCATTGAATAACCCTGCGACTGCGCTTGACATCCAATTCAAGCACCGAGACAATGACCAAGACCTTTATCATGCAATCACGGTGCACATGAGAGAAATGCTGCCTTGTCACTCAGATTAACCCTCGACATTGAATAGCCTTGGGGACTCGGCTACCGCTTCGAGCACCAACTGAGATTTATAAGTAAGTATTTTACGAGCTGATCTCATCCAGCGTTAGTGCGAAATCAGATCCTCCCACTTGACTTCGCGTTATGATTACATCTCTGTTTTGTGCTCTGCCCACACAGGGCTCCTCTGGTTCTCCTCAATGTACGCATAAACCTGCGACCAATCTCGGCATATGTGCGTGACACCCAAGCCGCTTGAGCCTGACACCGATCCATTGGTGTAGACTGGATCGAGGGTAGTATCAGAATTGCAAAGGATGGCCTGTCGCAAGAAGTTGAGGCAGTGGCCACTATGATCATTGGGCCCATTCATAAGGGCTAATCGGATCATTTGTAGACAATGCAGCTGGTGAAACATCGAGACACCAAACAGTCGCCCTGATAGAATGTGGGAATGGCAAGCGTCTGACTCATGCACTGACAAGAATGGGGTGGGTGTTTACTTACCATTTGGTCCCAGACGAACGAATCCGTGGCCTTGTTGAAAGTGATCAAGCAGATTCCACTCCGACCAGGCCGTGAGCCCCGAAGTACTGTAATATTTTGAGTCTTCAAACGTCAATCCAACAATCTCCAAGTCGAGGGGTAATTCGATCGGATGATCATTACCGATATAAGCTGCATCAAATATGCTGATGAGATGGCTGTCAGTAAGGGACGACCTCGACATACAGTACTGTTTATCATCGACAGATTGATGTCGCAAGCGCAGTATGGTGAGGATGTTCAAAATGATGCTAATGGCGAAAGCACCAGGCCCAAATACGTGTAATATGCCCGAGAGTCGAAGTTTGAGGTTGTGAAGCATTGAGTCTGCCGTTGGACGTGCTCTGAGAGAAATTTTCAGGTCACTGAATATACAAGGTAACTATTAGCATTACATGCTCAACTTACCAGAAACCACTACTATAGCTTGAGCTGTTGCTGGCAGGCACGGAAAATAACGTGTCACAACACGCCAGATTGCTTTATGGTGCACATCAGGGGAACCCATCTGCAGTGTGAGTTGTACTCGGTTGAACAAACTGCCGGACTTTCGACAACACTGACTGATCTGTTGCATCGAGTCCTGAACATCAGCTTCCATCTACCTGTGCGTCCGATGCTCGCATAATGAGACAAATGCTAAATGGCATTAAGTATGTCCAGGGCCATGACAGCCGCGAGTCGCACCTACTCCACGGGTGGCAGAAGTCGAGAATTCTGCCAACTGGCCGCCGGCCTGACTGGATGTTCCTGGTAGATAACGAACTCAATTGTAGGAGTACTTCATAGTTCTACCGTCAGTCCCCCCCCCCCCCCCCTGCCAAGGAGCAATGTTAGATTCTGAATCAGAGTGTCAGTTTCAACATACCAGCCCTCCAAAGTGGTTGCGTCTACTTTTCAGAAAGTTCCTTCGACGCAGTAAAAAATGGTCAAGTGAGTTACAAGTACTTTTAGTACAAGATGTTGAATCTGGTGACGATATCGTTTACTTGCCTGAGTCCGAGGAGTTGGCAGGCACTGGGATCTCGCCACTGGCACAAACAACGCGTCAACTTGCACACTAGTGGCACATGACTTTGTTCGCGACCACGTATATAATGTTAAGCCTTAACAAAACTCGCTACCTATCTCCATCAGGTCGAATTTTACGCGAGAGATCAGTCTAGGACTTTAAACCTGTACTCGATACAGCCTTACTCACACAGCGTGAAGTATAAGGCTTGTTGACTGCAAGACCGTCTTCGGGAGTGGGAACGACATTGTCGATGTAGCCGCACTGAGCAAGAGCTGGATTTGGACGGGCTGAGATGCCACTGGTACAACATCAACTCCTGGAACAATAAACACGACATTGGTAAGTCGCTTCAGGTCACGGAGATTTACTTACGCTGTTGCTCAGCATGACGTGTTCGTGGTTCTTTCTGATCAATCCAGGGACCTGACAAAATTGTTGAACAGGGCCTCCCATCACTTCACTCTCACTATGAACCTGGCCACACCGAGGTCCTTCTTCTGTGTCAACTAACGGAAGAACGTTTCGCCTAAGCAATCAAGAAACAATACGGACCTGCCTAGAGGCAGACTTTCTCGCCTTATCGTGGTGGATTGAACAAGCAGGTTGTGAACGGAAGAAAGCTCAGGCTTTTCCTAAGCACACGATATACACTCCAAACCGATTATAGAATGAATGTTTTTCTGCGAGCGAGTCTGAGAGATAATCGAGCTACCCAAAGATATAAAGGTTTCACTCCTTGCATCAATTGTACACTCAACACCCTCCAACGATCGCTATTGCTTACATCTAACCACAATGAAGCTCACTTTATCTTTCGTTTGTGTTGCCATTGCTTTGCTGCAGATGACCGCGGCATCTCCGGTCGTCAAAGGTGAGGCTTCAGTGCTAGCCTCATCTTGTGGTGCACTACTTACCTGGTTGGTGACATAGATGTCGAGAAGCGCGCGCAAAAGGCGTTCCCGTGTATGCTCTAGCGTGCTTATCCTATCTGCACCATGTTTAATGTCAAAACCATTCAGATCTTGTTGCTGAGGACCCCTCTGATGTCGAGAAACGCGCGCAAAAGGCATTCCCGTGTATGCTCTAGCGTGCTCATCCTATCTGCGCCATGTCTGATGTCAAAACCATTCAGATCTTGTTGCTGAGGACCCCTCTGATGCCGAGGTCCCCCCCAATAAGGCATTCACAGGTATGTCTCGGCGTGTTTACATTGTTTACATATTGTCTAACGAGATGTGCATTGTGACACAGACATCGCCGCCGAGAAATCCCGTGATGTCGCGGACCCCCCTACGAAATCATTCTCATGTATGTCTCGGCATGTTTGCGCTATCTACATCTTGTTTAACGAGATACACATTGTGGTACAGACATTGTTGCGGAGGAATCCCGTGATGTTGAGCCCGCCAAGGAGGAATCCCGTGAAGTTAAGCCCCTCAAGAACGGGCCCACCAAGGAGGAATCCCGTGAGATTAAGCCCCTCAAGAACGGGCCCCCCAAGGAGGGCACCCCCAAGAAGGCTCTCTAACGTGGTATGTCTTGAGTATCATGTTGGAGTTTCGACTCTTTTCAAACTGTTAGCACAGCTACAGCCTAAGGTCAGAAGCTCGAGGTTATCTCCATCTTGGACAACCTGTCTTCGTTACGGTGCAAATTAGACAGTTATCATCGATGTATCACTATCGCACAATCATCTGATCGCAAGAATCAATTCTCATTATCCCTAAGCCTTTTTACATAAGTGTCGAGCACGGCACTCATCCTTCTGTGTTGCGATCTGCGAAAGCTAATTCTAAGGTGTATATGTGCTTCCCTGACTCGGAGGAATGGCATTTCCAATCCGTATACTTATGCAAACCTCTGTAATTGTGTGCTGGGCAACCGGCGGCATAGTTACTGATTCCATAGTGTGAAGGGTGACATGGTGACACTCGTAATAAACCAACTACTCATCAGTGTTCAACGTTCAAGCTTAAGAATGAACATAGTGAACAAAACCCCTATCCAGTCTCGACAATATTCCATCATTACGAGGATACTATGGATATGAATGTTTTATTTGGCAATCTATAATATATACTGAGTAAAATGTTCATCTGAATCGATGCAAAGCTGACCTAACAAAATTTGGTCATGGCAATGGTGTCCACCGAGTCACATGTCGGTACAACTTTATTCCCCTCACAGCCTATCAGTCATCCCTTAAACTACACTCGAAACAGAGGTTGGAAGAAACCTGAATTCAACCGCCCATTTTATCAAAAGTCGCGTGCTTATTGACCATATCATGAGGGTTTGTTTGTACAATATTAATCTCGCATCAGGTATTACATCTGCTTCATCTTCTTCCTCAGGGAACATATCTGCACTGTGATATCACACTTTCACTCGAGGGTTATCGTACAAGTTCCTCGTTTCCTTTCCTTGAATTTTAGTGAGCCTGGGCTTGAGCGTGATAAGCACTCCGGCATACCACGTTCACAAGCGAGCTCAACGGTGGAGCTCTTTCGAGGGGCCGTGAGTTCGTTGATCATCATCTACCAAGGCCCCAAACTGCTGCATGATTCTTTGACGGGGAGTTACTGGGGGCGGCATTGGCGCTGGCGGCTGCACGACTTCGCCTGGTAATAGCTTGTAACGGGGGAAAGTCGTTGAACGACGGCGTAAGGGTAATTGACCTGGAACTCTCTTTCGATGCTGGTCAGTCTAATCAAAGCCCGACCATTAGGAAACTTGCCTCCATAAGGAAACGACAGATGACATAATGTCCGTCTCTGTTCTTTTCTTGCCACGCCTTTGAAGACAAAGGATCAGTGTTCAACGGATGTATGTAAATATTAAGAACAATATTACACGTGTACAAATGTACAAGCCATCATACCGAAAGCCTTCCCAGGGCGCAAATTCGGATTCGAGCTCGTAGCCCCGAATGACTCGCACGGGGTTGCCTGTTTCGGAAGATTTCTATTGTATCGTCATTTCCCGTCCTCGCATCTATCCGGTATAGAACTCACAAGAAGTGCTTCGTTTCCAAAATCCGTCCATTCCTGGTCACGGACCTGCTCGCGCGTCTTTGGAATTACAATCAGCGTCAAGCTATGAAGCACAATGAGAATTTACACGATCACCGGGCTCGTGACCCCCTGATGATTCTAAGTTGGCATACAATCTTGTAGCCCGGACTGTGAATACACACCTGAACCTGTATAAAAGCTATATGGACAGGTAATATTACTAATGTGGCTCGAAATAAGTACCGCTAGGTGCTTACATCTTGTCCCCCTCATCCTTGTCATCTTTGTATTGACCCGAGACGACAATCGAGAATGCGCCCATTTCCTTAGTGCCATGTATACCAGGCTCCAATTGGACATGCACGCCGGCATTATGACATTCTTTGCTGTGAACAGATAGGCAGATTAGGTAACTGATGTATCAAACGAGAATCAAGACCAAGCACCGAGTCGCCCATGTCGTCCCCACAGGTGCTCCTGGAATTTCCCCAAAGCGATGCCTGCAAAGACACTGCATGAATAGATATAATTGAGGGAGGAACACTGAGAGACTTACGCCGGTATTTGGCTAGACATTTCTCTTGGATCACCTATCTTTTCGTCCCAGGCACTGTGTGATGTCTTCGCGTCCAAGTCCTTCTGAGTGCGAACGTTGTTTATTGGGCCGTTGGTGATTGTGAGGACAATGGAGATAAGCAGTACTTATAGACTACTACTGTGTCGGAGTTCGAAAGCCGTAACTTCAGTCTTCAAGTCCATGGTTATTCGGAATGCTGCGTCCTGACTCGAGCTGGAAACAGTGGGAAATGCAGTGAATAATACTCCTGGCCAGTCTCAACACACCTTCTGTCTTCATATGGTTTACATGATACGATAATCATCATAATCATATATTCATTCCGAATATCGACGACATCTACACGGTAGGGCGCGAGCATGGACGAGCTGTAATCCAAAAATACTACCTTCAGCAGCTGCATTCTCTGACTGAAGGTGTCGTTGTCTCAATGAATGGCGGGCCTATCCGCAAGACATCAGCGCTTAGCCACCAGCAAACCGGATTGTTTGGAAACTACGATAGTGATCCACCACCAAGGCTATATCGCAAAGTTCACGTGTAGTGATGTTGTTCCAAAGTTTGTGGATGAAGATGGAATATCATGGTGACCGGTGTCAGCGATTGGGAAAGCTACCCGTCTAGTGAGTTTAGGCACGGTCAAATATACATCTTACACACCAGATGGGTATTGAGCATGGGCCACTCGGAGATGACGGACATCTGCCACGTAGCCTACACTAAAAGCTGTGAAGTAATCACGAGGGTGTCACATGTACAATGTGCCAGCTCGAGCTTCCAGTAAACTCGACACTGACTTGACCTAAACGCCCATTGTGCCTTGGTGTCAACGCTTCGAGACCTGTTGAGAAACACATCGTAGCGAGTGATGGTTTTGGTTTTGGCCTTCGTTGGATGAAAGCTAGAATGGAGTTGCACCTGATAGTTGATTATGACTTTACCCGTTGCTGTGAAGCAGGAGACATCAGCGATAACGCCCACCAGAAATTTGAAGGACACATCAATCTGGTTTTTGGCGCCATACATCTGCTAGGCGGAGAGCGGATGATGACTGGGTTCAACGGACGGCTCGCTGCGGGTATGTGAATTGAAGAGTGGAGAACAGATAGGACGGGATCAGGACGGAGACAGTGAGACCATGGTATTGTCTTCAGGCGGTAAGAAAAGAGTTAGCGGAAGTGTGGTTGGTGCGGTGAGGTTGTGGGACATCGACACAGGCAAGATCATTGCGAAATGGATAGGGCATACACGGCCAGTCAGGTCGATCCGCTGGAGTTGATATTTTCGGCTAGTGGTGGGCGTATTTTAAGATGAGACTGCAAGGCAGTAGGATGCGGAGACCGAAAAGACAATCGCTCGGACGAGTCGGACCTCGCGGAGACAAGGTACTATTTGCAGTGTCATCATTATGCCGTCCTTTACTCGCAAGACACGACCATGTCAATTGCGAGTACCGATAGATACAAGGACTTGGAGCCCTCGACTGCTATTCGAAGTCAAAATCTTGGATGTGAAGACAGACGAGTTTGCATTCCGATAGGTTGATGCTACACGACGTTCCCATGTATGTACCCCGATGTTTCTTTAACGGCCCACCAAATCGTGCTCACGTACGTCATTAATGTCTCATCTGGTACTGTTGTAAGCGCCTCAATCTTCTCCGTTGTCTGTACGACACCGTCCCAACCATCACCATTCGTATGGATCGTGGCCACTTTCATTTTTATCATACACTCGATACGCCATCGCGACCCCGCCCTTTCCACTGGGTTCTGAATCGCCTCTCTGGCAGACCAAGCGATGCAGTTATGGAGCTGCATGAGCATCCCTCAGTATTAGTTGACGTGCTGTATTGCCAGGCCAAACGCGCGTGTTCCTATCTATCTACTCGAATATTCAATTCTACTTGATAACATTTTCATGTTCGAATTCTGCCTCGTGTCACGCAGAGGAATGCACCAGCATGAGAAAAACCGAGGGCATGCTGCTTCCTCTATCTTGTCTCCACACCTCCCGTCGTCGCTACCACAACGATATCACACGCTGGACTCGCTTCTGGCTCTTTTATATGTTGTACATCTCCTGAATACACTGACGGTCATCATTAATCTACCAGTCTTTAATTACGACGATCTCTCCCGTCATCTGACATCCCATGATGTTATCTCATCCATAACGCAGTCATAAGATCGTTTAATGCATACCCCATATACCAGCGCACATATGCGAACTACTTCCAGAGCTAACTGGTTCGTCCTTGCATATTATGGCTAACGACTTTACAAAGCTCGTTCAAGTGTTGTTGCGGCTGTCCCTATGGACAGTGTGAGCAAGTTGCCTGCTCATCTTTGCATTGATGTTTTTTTTCTACAGTCGTTGGAATGTTGGCATGCGAATGCCAGTCTGAGACTCGGTATGCAATCGTGCCCTGTTGTGGTGCATGTTTTGAGGGCTATCTACTGGTCAAGTTGGAGGGTAGTGCATCGAAAGTTGTCACTGTGGTCTGTTGGTACAATATCCATCTCAAGGTCATCAGGTATTACATCTGTCTCATCTTCTTCCTCGTAGAACATATCTGCACTTCGTCATCATCAGGATATCTCGGGGGCCTCATTTTCTTTCCTTGAATCTCGCTGAACCTGGGCTTAGGCGTGATAGGCGCAAGAGGGCCTCACGTATACCACGTTCGCAAGCGAGCTCAACGGCGGAGCTCTTTACAGGGGCCATGAGTTCGTTGATCATTATCCACCAAGGCCTTCAACCGATCCCTGAATCTTTGGCGTCCATTTACTGGAGTTGGCCCTGGCGCTAGCGGCTGCACGTCTTCGAAGCCTGGTATTGGCATGTAAAGGCCGACAACCGGTGAACGACGGCGTAAGGGTGGTTGGCCTGGAACTCTCTTTTGATACTGGTCAGTCTAATCAAAGCCTGATTATTAGGAGACTTGCCTCCATAAGGTAACGACAGATGACATAATGTCCGTCTCTGTTCTTTTCTTGCCACGCCTTTGAAGACAAAGGATCGATGATCAGTGCTCAACGGATGTATGTAAATATTAAGAACAATATTACACGTTTACAGATGTACAAGCCATCATACCGAAAGCCTTCCCAGGGCGCAAATTCGGATTCGAGCTCGTAGCCCCGAATGACGCGCACGGGGTTGCTTGTTTTGGAAGATTTCTATTGTATCGTCATTTCTTGTCATCGCATCTATCCGGTATAGAACTCACAAGAAGTGCTTCGTTTCCAAAATCCGTCCATTCCTGGTCACGGACCTGCTCGCGCGTTTTTGGAATTACAATCAGCGTCAAGCTATGAAGCACAATGAGAATTTACACGATCACCGGGCTCGTGACCCCCTGATGATTCTAAGTTGGCATACAATCTTGTAGCCCGGACTGTGAATACACACCTGAACCTGTATAAAAGCTATATGGACAGGTAATATTACTACTGTGGCTCGAAATAAGTACCGCTAGGTGCTTACATCGTGTCCCCCTCATCCTTGTCATCTTTGTATTGACCCGAGACGACAATCGAGAATGCGCCCATTTCCTTAGTGCCATGTATACCAGGTTCCAATTGGCGATGTACGCCAGCATGAAAACATTCTGCGCTGTTTACAAATAGACAGATGAGGTAACTGAAGTTATTACACGAAAATCCACAGTACGCACCGATCATTCCATGTTGTCCCGAAAGGTGCTCCGGGATATTCCCCAAAGTGGTGCCTGCAAAGAAAGTATTTAAACAGTGTGGCCGATGGAGGGACACTGAATATTGCTAACACCGGCCTGGCACGAGGGTCTTCACTTGGTACCCTGGCCTTCCTGCACCTTTTTCTGGGTGTTTCTTCTTTCATCTTCTGGTCCTAAACACTGTTTGATGTCTTCGCCTCTGAGTCCTTGTGTATTTTGTCGTCAGCGACTGTCAAGATGATGGAGAAAAGCACACGAGGCCAACAATGAGGCTTCTTATACAGACTGCTGCTCAGTCGGAGTTCGAAAACCGTGATCATCTGGCCAGGCCAAGGTTCGACTCCACCAACGAATAATGATGCGTCGATAATACAGACAATTTGCATCTGTTCCTGCGAGACGAGGTTCCATACTTAGATTGTCCCGTAGTTCTGCGTGAATTCCTGAATTGCGCAAGTACGGGGCTACAGACACGAGTTTAACTAAACGTAGACAGACCTAGTAGAGCAGTATCAGCAGGCAGACATTCCAAATGATCCTCAAAGCAAGAAAACAGAAAAAGGGTACTGTACATCCGTGACTGGTCCTACCAGATGGGCGAAGTGAATGAGAAACATGGATTCGAGGTCTTGAAAGCAAGAAAGCAGAGCACCCGGTATATAATAGGTATTTGATGACTCGCTCAGAAGGGCGACGGGGATAAGAGCGATGAAAATAGGGAAGCCGCCGTGATTTCGAGGTCCTCGAGTAGTAGATCTTCCTCATCTTCCTCATCAAATGGTATATCAATGTCTTCGTCATCAAGTGTTATATCGGTATCTTCGTCATTCTCATCGCAAGAGATGCTCCGCATGGGTCTCCATATGAGGCTATTGGGTTTGGATTGGCTGGTCCACATGCTAGGTCGCCTCTTCACAGGTGTCTTCATGGAAGAGCTCGTTCCAGAGAAGCATTGCTGTTTCTCTTTCTGCAACTCCTTCTGCACCCGCTGGTTGTGCTTCTGCAGCGGGGTTTCAATAGTCATCAGGACCGGCGTCAAAACCTGTGGCTGCACGGCAGATGATGATGATGATGGTGAAGACGACGATGGTTGGGGCGGCGCTTGGTCGGCGAGTTTGCACTTCTTAGACGCCGCATCGGCATAGATCGTTGGATCATCTTGGGGTGAACATGGCTCAGTCTTGCGCTTACGGCTGATCAACGTATGTGAGGGCGAGACGGCAGTATCTGATGTAGCTACGGAGGTGGGAGATGGCTCATGATCGGTACCTCCAGGCGAACGACGAGGCAGGGGAGGTTGACCTGGAATCCTCTGTTGATACATCATCAGTCTAATCAGAGCCCCATGATTTAGAATGCAACTTACCTCTAACCTATAGCGACAGATATCCAGACCCTGAGGATTTTTCTCTTTCCATGCCTTTGAAGGTTTGAGCATCAGTTCTGGCGCATCCTCCATAGATAAGGGAAATAACATTACACTTTCGACAGTGTACAGACCATCATAACGATAGCCATCGGCAGGCGCAAAATCGGAAAGTACTTTGTAGCTTCGGACGACGCGCACGGGGTTGCCTGTGTCACGCGATTTCTGTTTTGCAGTCATTTGGGGATCTCACGTTCAAAGACAGAAAAACTCACGACAAGTGCTTCGTTTCCTGAATCTGACCACTGCTGATCAAAAACCTGCGGACCTAATCGGAGCTTCAGAATTTTAAATGAATAATCACGCTATATGAGTAAGAAAATGACCTACACGCTTCGGAGGACAGCTATCAGACCACCGCTTGCGACCCCCTGACGCTACCACGTTGGCATACAATAGTGGAACCTAGGTTGTGAATACACACCTGTACCTGTATAGTAGCTATATACCCGTAAGGCTCAGAATACAATGGTCACGCTTTAAAATGAAGCGGTGTGGTAGGTGCTTACATCGTATCGCCAAAATCCTTGTCATCTTTGTAGTGACACGAAACGACAATTGAGAAGGCACCAGTGTGTTTAGTGCCATATATGCCAGCCATCAAAGGACGGTGTACACTAGCATGAGAACACCCTTGGCTGCAAAGACACGAACAAATGAATTCAACTGAATCAAATGAGAATGAAGATACACACCGATCCTCCCATTTAGCCCCAACCGGTACTCCTGGAATCCCCCCAAAGCGCTGCCTATAAAATGGGTGAGTACTGAAGCTGAGGGAGTCATACTAGTACTAACGCCAGGAGGCGGGCAGTCAACTTGGCAATCTTGACGCTCCCTGAGTCCTTGCCCACTGAAACTTTGCTAGCTATATTTTTCTCTTCATCACCATCCATCTGATCATCATCTGTGCGGATGGCTTCGACTTGTTCTAGCGGTCCGTCATCGTGACCCATCATGTGTAGCCACTGTGGCGTTCAACGTAACTGATGCCTTTAACGATCCAGCAATGCATGAGGCACCAATGATACTGCTTCGGAGTTCGAAAGAGATGAGCTTCGAAAAGCCAGACCTAGGGCACGATGCCTTGCATCGACGACGACGGCTGCGAGTGATGCTCTCGATTGTATGGCATGTCGACAACAACACAGACGACGAGCTGTGTACGACAACCGTGGTGACGTGTGTGTGAAAGCTGTCTCTGATGAGTGTGTCCTAGAGGCTATTGGATAGCGTTATCTTTATATCTCTTTGTTGGCATTTGCAATGAGTCTGTGAATTGCAAGAAACGGGAATTATTAATATGCGTGTTTTGGTTGGTTACCACGATGATGATGGCCGAGATCATCCCACCGATAAAAATAACCCTACATTCAATAGTTCACGTATATATAATTTGATGACATTGGGGTGTATCTCACCATATCGTTACTATTGCTCCTTCTTGCACAGTATGACCCGCCCCTTTAAGCCACCCCCGCTGGCCAGGGATACCACTGGCTTTCGATGCAACTCACTCAGCGCGTATGCATGGAAACAATGGACTATGTTTGAAGCCACCTTTGCTATATGTGGTCTGGAACCTTGGGAGAAACTTGTTTTCGGTGAGTATTCCACGTTCGACGACCTCCAACCACTCATCCACATACAGTAATCGTCATGTCTCTACTCACTTTCCTATTCTTTACCGGCCTGTCTCGGGTAATACCCAGTCAGTTGATCTCACTACTACCTCGCATTGCATACTATCTCTGGGGCGACGAGCGTGTACTAAACCACTGGATGGATCATGCGGCAGCCAGTGTGAAGGAGCTATAGCCTGAGGTTTTTGATTGGCAGATGGATGTGGGTGTACTTTACGTTGTCTGGATTGAGGCACAGGGGGTCCATCACGTTCACCTGTCAAGTATGTCTCTTAGCATTTGATGCAGCCCTTGCAAAACTCACGCTGATTTTCATAGGGCTACTGTTTAACTGTATTATGTCTCTCGTACTTTATTCTTCCATCATTGTCTCCGCCCACGTAACTTTATTATCTCAACTCGCTGCCAAATCCGACCAACGGTGATAAACCTGACAGCTCCGCGCCACCACCTATGTACCTCTATGTAGTTCTTACACCATGTACAAAACTATGTTTCATCATCAAGAGCCTGGTACTTAGTATGAGCGGAAATGTTGAATCATTTGCTCAGAAGGTGAAACAGAGATGTTATGGTTTAGAATGCAGCGACCTCACGAGCAGATAGCTGGACGGCCTTGGGGCTAGTACCAGTATCACCTTTTGAGTTGCGCCAATGATTTCCGGGCACATTGCCAGAAATAATCAAGCCGACATCATGATTCACAGTCACTCGTGCTATGATCACATAAGAAACATCGAGACCAGCAGATATTATAGCTCGTTGACATACTGGAACAAAAGATTGTCCATGTCAACACACGGCGCAACAGCGGATTGCCTTGCAAGTGTGAACAAAGCAAGCAGTAAAGCTTGCGATGGCCAACGGCGTCCGCATCCCGCGCGTGAGTCGACAATGTGTTGTGCGGGTCAACTTTTTCGCAATCAATGATCTGAATGGCTAAGAGTAACGTTACCATTGCATGGCCGGCCGTTATCACAGCACTTGCAACGAAAGAGACCTACAGAATCGACTCAAAGTTAGTAATGAGGGTGGCCACTGCAACTCAAACATACCGATATTGGCCTTCTTTCGTTTTATCGGTCTCGGAGGAACTTGGCTCATGACAAACGTGCGATGCGCAGCGGTGACAGACTGCAAGATACCCGTAACCCATTGATCAGGTGGGACCGCATCACGTGCCAAGAAATCATGACTTCGATTTCCGCCAATTTCCGCCGCCCTCTCGGGCAGCGTGATTGGATTAACTCAAAAGGCGGACTATAACTCAAGTACTCGTTTTCTTTTGTGGAACCATCTTCAAGTACCCTTGCTTGCCTGCTCCTCAACTATAATCCCTCCCCAACTATATTTCGTCATGGTGAAGGACTACTTATGGAGGCAAAGAGTCAAGTTCGAGTCGACCTTGGCACTGTCTATGCTTGAGCCTTGGGAGAAACTTCTCTGCTGTGAGTCCCATCTTTTCATGTCTTAATTTTCTGATCTGTCTGCAGTGATCATATTCTCGCTCTTGACGATGTTGGTGATGATTGGACTGTTCCAATACTTGCCGCAACATGTCATGGTCATGCAACGACGGGCCATATATTACCTTTGGGGTCAGGAAGGAGACGTGCTTCGCTCATGGGTGGAGACACCTGGGCTGAAAGAGCTATAGTACGTACCTAATTTTCCACTCATGGAGGTGCGAGCGTTCTGGTGTTTTATCTGCCTTCGTGCTTACCTACCGACACATTTGTCTTCTTAGATCTTCCCCTATGCTATCTATTCTGGATTCATACCTTCCATATCCTTGACTCACCTACGTATACCTCCTTTGTATACTCATACATGACTACAAGAAACTCTTATTGCTGAACCAAATTTTGGTGCGCTCGATCATACAGCAGCCACCTGATGACCCAATGATACTACAAGTTATTGGGTTGCAAGACACTCGTTGAGTTTTCTTCTCTGTCTAGCCCGCAGAAACGTACTTTTTTTTCTCGTCGACGCTGGGTAAACACGCAAGTAGTTATGCTCTTTACCTCACCAGCCCATAGTACGTTTTGCCAGTATGTTACGCACATCGGTCCTCTCGGACGCGACCAGCTTCCGCAAGTGTGCATGACGTTATAAAATCATGCCTAATAGTAAGACTACATTTGGAATCATTTCCATGTGCTTGAGCTCGGGAGAAGCTCGTCTTTGGTACGTTTAGCCGGCGCTTCTGTCTTCCCTCCCACCGTCCTCGTTCGCAGAAACACGACAGTCGTCATGACACTCCTTGCCTTTCTGTTCCTCACTGGCTGCGTTCGCTATGTACTTGATACCCCAGTATTTCGTTATGATCCAGCATAGGCTCTCTTATTACCTCTGTGGCGATGAAGGCGGGGGTATATCGACATGGACTCTGAGCATGTACTAGACCCAACCAGAACTTCAGAGAGCTATCGGTATAGAGCGTTGACACGACAACCCGCCATTACTAAAGTTATCTGATTCCGCATGTTGGCGCGACGACATTGAATCTGCTATCTTCTTCTGATTCTGCATGACGTCAGATCCAGCAAGTAGAACGCCTGCTTGTCTAAAAAAACGACAAGTGACTTTGCCAGCAAGAGACGAGCTAGGATATCGGATAAGATATTTCAACGTTGGTTAAGCTTTTAGAAATTTTAAGTAAGGATCGTTGTGGTGTTGTGTTTATATTGGGAGATGGACTTGAACTAAAGTTTGCACCACCACCATGAACCGATAGGGTTTATCGCTTCTCAGCCGCGGCAATCCTACGCCCTGTACTAACCTTGACCATTTGCATTACCTCGGGGAGAGCATAGCTATCCTCGGGCTTTTCAAGTCCAGTGCTTCCTCGATCATAGAAAACCACGACGTAGGCAGCCGCCGATCGATTTCTCGGATCCTAGTCCTAATATTATGGGCTCAGGTGACTCTGCAGTCCGCTGGCTGAGTACTGCAAGGTTAAAATTTTGGTCTCGCTCATACATGATCACGGACCATACTATGCAATTCACACAGCTCCACCAACGTTTTTTCATCAAGTCTAGTCTAGCTCTGGTCTCCGCCTGTAGCCAGCACGGAGCTCGATCAACGCAGCTAGCAGAACAGCCAAGAACAAACATACCCAGAGAGTGTCGGTCTGGTGCTGAATGCCACCGCGTGTTGATAGCATGATGTCTATCATGAGCACACGCACAAAACGGCGTTCTCAGCACTTGAGTGCACCAAATGCTTGTGCTGTCAACAACGCACGTACCTGATTTTTTATGAACACAGGATCCGTCATCACTCTACACTTGGATTTTTCTTCACAACTACGCCCCTATACTTGCTATTGCGTCGTGCCAACTGTATAGGGTCCCTGGGGCCTGAGAATAACCACCACTCGCTCTCCAATCTGACGCCGTTTGATAAAGAGTTAAAATAAGAGAAAGGCAGATCCGCCCGCTAAACCTATGCAGCACAGTCCGCCACCGCTGTTGGCAAGCCAGTGCCCGTTCCCAAGACAGGCACGTCGGCGTGGGTCGCGTTCTGTACAGAATTTCCATACAATTCCAAATTCATCGACTAATTTTTTATGCCGCGGTTGTACTCTGTGCCAATTGACGGATTAATTTTTTTTTGGTCCTTGGCAACAGGACATTGTGAGGCGCGTTCCAGAACGATTCTTCAGCATGCATTTGGCGGCGCATGTGTCATCCCTCACGAAACGGCACCATTACGATGGCATGGTTCAGAACGGCTGTCGGGCTGTGCATGGGGCTAGATCAGTGACCGGATGTACACTTTTCCCCCATCGAGCACAAGGGCCCCGGCCTAGGATAGGGAACGCGATTGTCCCTGACATGGACAGGCTAGCCAAAACGTCACGCTGCACCTCTTGCGGTTTGACACGAGACAAGCCATAGACATTTGGGGAAAAATATATCATTTGTTACAGAAATATTGGTAAAGGGGCGTGTATCTTATAATAAGAATAATAGTATGGATACAGTAGGAATGTGTCGAGTCAATCTAGTCCTGACATTGCGAGAAGCCGTTCAAAGTGGATTCGTTGCGTGTATTGTTATATAAGTGAACGCACGAATTTAAGATGTCACGAAGGGGTTAAGTGAAAGGGGGATACCGTAACATTGTTTGGTGCGTGAAACAGAACGAAGAATGCGTAAAAACGACCAGATGCGTGTCATATGCGTGTTTGGCCGCAAGTGTGGGAGTCAAACGTGAAAGGCAGGGTAGATTATGTTATCGTAGATATGATTGGGATGAGTGGAGCGCACATACACCACGCTTCCCAGTCGTGGCGATGGCCGTGATCCAGTCACCCGGTGGCCCCTTCCATCAGAACGATCGACCAGCGGATTCGAATAGATGCGATTACGACGGCATTCCGCTAGCAGCCTGCGTTTATGACTGTGGGTTGGTTGCCTGATATAGATATTGGAATAAAGGATTATGGATAACGACACAGCATGGCAAGATTTCCTCCCTCCGAGTGGCAGGGATCCTCCATTAGTCCGCGTAAAGCAAACAAACAATGCCCAACACGACTACACCGCGGACGGATGGTTTCCGCGACCCCATTTTGTGTGATACAGTGCATCATCTGGCTTCGTATCGGGATGAATTTGAAGCCTGCCTTCCCAGAGGGCAGCAGAGGACTTCGAGGGATCATAGCGAGCAGGGTCCGATAGAGTACCGCGTGATTGTGGTGCCCAGCCAGCCCCGATGGAAGATGCAATAAGCGTCGGGACCATGGTCATCAACGAAGGGCTAGAAAAAATTAAGGATACAATCTGCCAAACCAAACACTAGCACATACAGAGGAACACGTTTGTCATCGTGTAGTCTAGCCTGACGACTCTTGACGACGAATGAAGACGAACGAAGTCGCCCGCCCCGCAGGTTAGCGAACGTGGCGAGATTATCACGCACAAGTTCAATCGCAGAGTTCCATTCAACCTCTGGGCGAACTTTTGGAAGACCGCCTTGGCGTTTGGGCAGTAAGCGCATTAGTATGAAGAGGCGTTCAAAGGGTCCGTTGGGCAGCAGGCGGATGATCGCACCGAGGGGGATGGATACAACGCCAAGGGCGAGTGAGATGCCCCATTCACGACCTCCAATACGCGTCACCTGGAATGCGGTGCCCCCGACGAACACGATGATCACTTGTACAGCTATTTCTGTAAACCAGCCGTGAGTGCAGTCCAGACATGATATGACGCGACTCACCGATGAGGGTAATGACCATAAAGTACCAATTGTCAAGCATGCCTTCAAAGATGTTGAGCCTCCGATCCAGCCTTCGCGAGTTCACCGAGTTGAATATCTGAGCAAAAACGAACGCATTGAAGACGAGAGTCTGTATAATGGTGTCATTGCCCGACGTCTCGGCAAACCCCAGGATCTGGTTGCCAAGGAAGTGGAATAGTAGGATGACGGTGATCTGGTAGACAGACTGCAACAAGATCTGCTTGTACATGTTCACAGTGAAAAGCGGTGCCGTCTGCTTATCAGGCGTCCGATTCAGTGACGCCGGCGATGCAGGGTCCGTGGCAAGCGCAAGCGCAGCGAACGTGTCCATGATAATATTGATCCACAACAGCTGAACAGCCGACAGCGCCGACGTCTCAGAACTAGAAGCGATGGCGGTTACGGAAGTGATCACCACAGCAGTAACGTTGGTGGAGATCTGGAACTGTAGGAATTTCCGAACTGCGTCGTTCACGCAACGACCCCACATGATCGCCTTGACGATGGAAGAGAAGTTGTCGTCCATCAGAATAATGTCAGACGCCTCTTTGGCTACTTCTGTCCCTGCTATGCCCATGGAGAATCCTACGTGCGCTGTTTTGAGAGCGGGTCCGTCATTCGTACCATCGCCAGTGACGGCAACGATCTCCCCGAGCGCACGAAGCTTCTCCACCAGTATCTTCTTGTCTTCAGGCGACGAACGAGCGAGGACCTGGAGCCGTGGAACGATCTCGAGCATCTGTGATTCGTCAAGCTGGCGAAAGACGGGTCCTTCCATGATGATGCCGCCGGCCGTGTATATGCCGCACTGCGTAGCGATTGAACGCGCCGTTAGCACATTATCACCTGTACACATCTTCACAGCAACACTGGCTTTGTGACAATTGTCCACTGCTTCTCGAACACCATCTCTGAGCGGATCTTCGATCCCGACGATTCCGATCAATGTTAGGTCTTGAGAGATGTCATCGTATGGGACCTAGAACACATTAGTATGTCAACATATCACTGAGAATATACCCACTTCGTCGATCGCCGTGGCTTGCACCCCTGGTGGTGGCCAAGACGGAAAGTCCCTATAGCACAGGGCTATAGTTCGCAGAGTCTGATTCGCGTAGAAAATGATAGTCCTGGAGATGTTCTCTTCCGAGAAGCCATCGATCTCCGCCACCTCGACGTCGTCAGTATAGGAGCGAGTACTCCCATGCTGGTCTACAACGACATGGCTGCTGCACAGCTTTGTCAGAATCTCGCTAGCGCCCTTGACGTGGAAGCGATATCCATGCTCGGTTTTGACCACCACGCCCATAGCCTTGCGATCGCTGGAGAATGGAAACATCTGCACGACCTTTGTCGCATCCCTCGTCTCCTTACAATCTGCCCACCCAAGCTCCTTTGCAAAATTTAGAAGCGCCGTCTCTGTCTTACTTCCCACGAACACTGGCTCCCCACTTTCCTTCTCCACGTCCTCAAATGCAGTAGAGTTCACAGCGATAGCGGCATTAAATAGCGAAAGAAGCGGTCGGCTCAGAACGGTGTTAAGCATTGATTGATCGATACTGAAATCATCGCGAGGAGGTTTCGCATCAGAGTTCCTATGTGGGCTTCGGCTTCTGTTCGCGTTTGTGCGGGCTTGATTGTGTTCTAGTTTGCGCACAAATTTGGCATGGATCCCGATGGAGCCTGCGACCACGGACATGACGTTGCGAGTGAGCGTACCGGTCTTGTCGGTGCAGATGACGGAGGCATTGCCCATCGTCTCGCAAGAGCCCAAGACGCGTACCAGGAGGTTTTCTTTCGTCATCCTCTTAGTGGCGAATGCTAAAGCGAGGGTCACAGCCAATGGGAGTCCTAATTATAAACACGCTCGTTAAGGCGTAGTGCACTTGACGTAAAAGGGCAGAGCCCTTACCTTCTGGAACGGCGACCACGACCAACGTGACCGAGATGATGAGAATCTGGACAAAAGCCATACCATTCTGCTCGGCAGACCTGTAACGCACCAATCAGAAAAGTTGCGTATGCCATGATTGAGCTTCGTCACCTGGAAGGCTGGCCTTTAGCGAGTTGCACGATGAATCTGATCATCAGAGAGGAGAAGAGCAGGATGCCGGCAATACTTCCAATCTTTGCGATTAATTCAGCCAAAAGGTTGAGCTTCAACTGAAGGGGTGTGTGTTCCGTCTCCGTCCTAAGGGCTAAAGGAGTTGGAGTTAAGCGGGGTATCGGTTATCAAAGAAAGATGGCACACCCATCATGATCCTGCCGTTAAAGCTCTTCGTGCCAACTGCGACGACGACATAACTTCCGATGCCTTCCAGAACCTTGCTACCGCTGACGACAAAACAGTCCGTGTGGGTAGATACGTGCTCCCCTCCGAGAGCGTCACCGCTCAGTGCGTGTTTCAGTGCCAGGCAATCCGCATAAGACGCCTTTTTAATAGCATCCGACTCGCCAGTTGCCGCTGATTCGTCACACTTGACGTTGTAGCCGGTTAAGAAGATGCCGTCGCAGGGGACTATTTCGCCGGGTTCTAATAATGCCACATCGCCGACCACGACTTCCTGTGAGCACAAAAAAAAAATGATAAAGGCGTGAAATTAGAATGAGAACAAGCTTACTTTCACATCGATGAGACGTTCGATGCCGTTGCGGATGACTTTAACCCCGCGTTCTTCCTTTTTCTCGTTGAGAACCTTGAACTGACGTTCTTTCTGCCAATCATTTATCGAGCCAATGACAACCTATGAAAGATTGAACGTTGGATGAAAAAAAAAGGGCAGGCAACTTACGACAATGAGAACCGCGATCATGATGGCAACACCTTCCACCCAATCTACTGGGGGTTCGCCGGTAGTCTGAGGCGTCCCAAAATCTTGAAACAAGCCAAGGGCGAGTGAAACTACGGCTGCGATAGACAACAAGACCTTGAAACACGAGGAGGTGAAGATTGAGTTTGACCGATTTAGTATTTACGCACAAGCACTTTATCTTGCAATGCGAGCCACATGAGGGCAAGTAGACTTTTGCTCGTTCGCTGTGGAAGCACGTTTTCACCAAATACACGCATGCGATCTTCCATTAACGCCGAATGAGGGCCGTCGGGCATTTGAACGTCAGGATGATCGTGTAGAGACAAAGGTTGCCGATCATGCCTTTGAGAGTTGCCTAGACCAGCACCTGAACTGTTGTCTGCGGTGCCGGTTGTTGTTAGACCCCGGGAAGGGTCAGTTCCTAGGCCATGAAGAAGGCCGTCTATACCCCCTAAAGCCTCGAGTGCGTCGAGATTTTTTGGGTCGAGAAGACTGGCCAACTCGACGGGCCTGAATTTGAATGGAGTAGGGTCAGCCTGGTCGTCTTGTTCGAGTTCAATTTTTTGGACGTCGGGGTTGGAGTGAAGTGATTTGCGACTGTCGGAAGGGTTTGGGTGAGTATTTGGATTATGTGAAGTAGATGTTTGGACGATGTTGTCGACGGATTTAGCAGGTAGGGACCTGGATATGATGGAGGCTGTGTCTACATGTGTGTGGGTAGGAGAAGGCATTGTGCTTGTGGGATCCGATGTAACAGGATGAAGATGAACCATGCCATAATCACCGCTGGCGTGGTCTGGTTCTGTTTCGTCGAGGCTAGCGTGACCCTCATGAGAGCTTGTGAAAGTTGCGTTGCTAGGTTTTCGATGGTGAGTGAAGACGTTGTCCATTGAAGAACCGAGGATATTCAATGAGGAATAACCGTTGTGTTCGTCTGGTTTGTTATCCCTGAGGGAAAGCGAGGTAGGGAAATGGCCCGAGGAGCGGTTTGATAAGGTTGGGGATGGAGGAACGAATTGGGAAGCCCCGTCGTTTGATGAGACGACGGTAGGGGAGGGTGAATGAGAGCGAGAGTCCAAGGACACTCGACGGTGAGATTGAGGGTGGGGAGACAAGAGGGTTGAATCTGGGGGGATTCTTGGAGAAGGATTTGTAGAGGATGAAGCGAATAAAGGGATTACTGTATGATTTGAGGAAAGGTCTGTTGTGACGATCTCAGGAATACCTTCTGAAGCCATGGGACCTGAAAAGTAGAAGATGAACCGGGAAAGAGTTCCAAGAGAGGGAAGAACAGGCGGATTATAAATGAATGTGACAAGAGAGCGACGAGGCTGTGTCGGTGGTGTGCGGTTGGAAGATTCTATGTAGAATTCTGATGAGTTAAGGCACGAAAAGGAGGCCTTTCAGGGTGTGTAATAAGCCAAGAATACACGTACATGTGTCCATGGGATGAATCAATTGATTGAATACCGTGAAACGAGCTGGTCGAGTTCGACGACGACGACGATTTCCTATTAGACGATATTTCGCAAATCATGTCCTTTTTTGGTTCACTTGCAGGATTACATGCAGTCCGAGGAGCAAGCGACGTCATCGTCGTTTCCTCATTGACGTCCCAACCCCACCGCCAACACACTACTTTACACGCACAACCAATGTGATTCCCCAGATCTCCTTGGCTTCAGGGGTGACTTTTCACCTCCGTCATTTTTTCTAACTGGAATTCTTATATTGGCTTAGCTAATCAGATTACTTGTCCTCATTGATTCATCGCAGAATTCATTCAGACGCGTGAGTCTGACTTTTAGCGCGCTCAGGTGTTGCCATGCAATCCGGAACCCGAGCCGAACATCCATTCAACCCTCTACCGCAGAGATCTTGTTCGCCGCCGCAACCTGTGGCGTTTAGGGTAAGCAGCCGCCGTGGACCGTATGTCGGCTAGTTCCGAATTATCCAATTAAAGTAAGATCCCGCCTTCTAATTTCATATATTCTGCCAGCGTTGTTCCATTGGAGTTTGCTGTTTAGAAAATGCTAGTAGAAGGTTTCGCTGGCAAGGTATAATTAACTGTTCATATCAAACCCATATCCCTCGTCGTTCTCCTAGTTGGCAGGCACAATATCACGTTACCACCTCATGCTTAACCGTAAGCATTGTCGTTATCGACAATGTCGAATTTTCTGATCTTTCCACAGATAGCGCAAAAAATAGATCCATACCAGCCAATGTGGCCTCCCTCACAGCATCACCAATTACCAGAATCTTGGCTGATTGCACAGTCACACCGTCGGCGTTATCTCATGCACTGTGCGCAGTCCAATCAAACATCCCCTTTCACCCCGCACATCGGGACTGCGAATCATTCTGCACACAATCCCTCTACGGTCATATTGATCGAGTCGGTGTCGGTGCACATAGCATCCGATGAGTCGGTACACTAGCGCGGACATGAGGACGTAATTATGCAGCCATCCATCCTTGGCGAATTTGGTCTAGCGCAGGAACACACAAAAAAAACTACAAATCTCTTACATGAACTTGCACAGGAATAAGGAATGCACACGTCTGCCGCTTGGTTGCCGACCATCGCGTGAGGCGCGTCACCTGGCCCACGTCCCGCAAACACGACCTTAACTTTAACTTAATGGATCAGAATCTCTCATTTCACTTTACCGATGGCGGTTTCATCGTGTTATAATCGGCGACCATCATGGTGCTCTTGACTCGCACATTACCTGCTATGCAAAAATCATCTCTCACTTTTGGCTCGGATATGACCCACCACTTTTACGGACGGAGCCCGTGGATCTCAAACGTGCTGGGCGCCCAAGGAAACACATCCTCATACCGTATCTTTGCGATCAAGAAGGACCTTTCAAATCACTCTGCTGTGCTGACAGCTGACAGATACATTCCTTGGCCCATAAGAAAAGGTTGGCGATCCGATCCGCCTGAATCCCAATCTCAGGCTCTGCGGATGCATGTGACTACTACTCTTGCTAATACTAATACTAATAGTGGCGGTGAATGGAACGGTATTTGGGCGTGTGCATTTTGAGACATCCGCAAGGGCTGGGCTCTCCATTCATGAACTTACCATTTTACAAGCTCGACGTCAGTACACCGTTCCACGGGACTGGTTCGGAGCTATCTAACAGCGATGCTGCGCTGGAGGGTTAAGCCATATTTTAAATCCCAAGCCATTCGATCGAGCATATGACTCCAACATGCGCGTTACGCCGACAAGACAATGGAAAACATCCGGTGACAAAATTGGAGTCTTGTCACTCACTGCTTCACTTTTTGGAAGCTTGTTTCAAGAAGAAGCATGGATTCTGGAAACACAAAAAAAAACGCGTTCAGCTCAGCTGACTCCTCGACGCCCCTTTGTTGATTTCGAAGTTTTGCCCGTTGACAACCAAGTCTGCCACTTCACAATATTCACGCTACGATCCTGGATCACCCGCTGAGAATGAGGGTGACAGGTCCTACGCCCCGTTTCGTGTCAAAGGGCTTTTGTCGAAGCTCTTTCAGATGACTCGGGAAGATTGAACAATGGCAAACCCTGAGCCGCTCGTTACTAAATCAGGTAATTGGACCCATCATGGTTCTAATTCATTTCTTAAAGGAACGGCGAGCAACTTGACGCTTTTCTCGAAAGTCTACAGAGAATCCTTGACGTACGTACGCGCTTCCGGAGCGCTCATCCACCAACCCCTGATATCTCGTCACCAGCTCGCGCTTGCGAACTTGAGATTGTTCTCGAAGTCGTTTATGAAACGAGTGGCCGCAGGCATGCATACCAGAAAAAAACGTGTTCACCTCATGCTACTATGTACTACTTTACTCTCCAGCGTCAAGTAATGTGGGACCCCATCTATGTTCTAGAAAACCACTCAAGATATGGAATAATCATATGGAACAACCAACGTATAGCGCCCCAAGTCAAGCGTAAAGTGTGCAACGCGATCATCCGACCTGGTGCCTAAATAGAAGTTATGATACTTGCCTTCCCAGATCGTCTATACACCCGGGCTTACCACCTGTGGCGTAGGCACTTGTCCCCCAACGAGGTCGCTACCAGCCCCTTCGTCGTTCTTGGGCTTCAACTCAGCTTGTCCCTCCTTGTCCACATCGTCTTGCTTCAACTTGCCCATCTCCTTGATGAAGCTCGTGCCCCAAAAGGCCGCGGAGTATTTATTGACGTATTTGAAAAGCTTGCGGTGGTTCTCGGCACGCGTCTCCGTATCCATCGTGACAGCTTCGTGAATCGCGTCAGCGACTTGTTGAGGATCCCACGGGTTCACGACGATTGATCCGTTGAGACTCTGTGCGGCTCCGGCGAATTCGGAGAGGATCATTGCACCCTGACGAGCCTGCTGGCAAGCAATATATTCGTACGAGACCTGATGGTGATGACGTCAGAAACATCACCCCGCAGGTGAAGAACTGAGAAGATTTACCAGATTCATTCCATCTCTCGTACTCGTCACCAAACAAACGTCACTAATTGCGTAAAGAGCGCACAGCTCGTCGAACGGTAGACTCTTGTGCATGAAGTGTATCGGCATAAATTCGACCGTACCGAACTGACCGTTGATGCGACCGACGAGCTCGTTTACCGTCGATCGTAGGTTTTGGTAGTCTTCGACGTCTTGTCGAGACGGCACAGCAAGCTGGACCAACACCACCTGGTGATGCGAGTAAGTCAAACAGGTATTCACAAACAATCCCACACTAACTTTACCGATCCACTCAGGGTGCTGCGTCAAAAAGAGTTCGAGGGCGTGTAGTTTCTGGGGAACGCCTTTGATGTAATCGAGACGATCAACCCCAACGATGACTTTGACACCATTGAAACGCTGTTCCAGTTGAGCGATCCGAGATTTAACGGATTCCTTCTCTAGGTTCTGCACGTTGTTAACTTTAATGACTCATGTAACTTTACGTCCTGATGCATACCTTGATGAATGAAGCAGGTTCGATGCCAATAGGGAATGTTCCAACGTGAGCTAAGCGACCTTCAAACTCAACACCATTTGGCATAGTGGGCAAGCCCAAGATGCGCGTGCAAGAAGATAAAAAGTGACGAGCATAGTCGTAAGTGTGAAAGCCAATCAGGTCGCAGAACAGGACACCCAGGAGAATTTCACGACGAACAGGGAGGATTCTGACGCAGGGTCAGCGGGGTAAGCGAGCAATAAAGGAAGATCACTTACCTATAAATTTCGCTGCTGGGGAAGGGTGTGTGCAAGAAGAACCCTATCTTGACGTCGGGTATTCTCTCAGAGGAGATATTAACTTCCTCTTCAATACCTTCCGCGATCTTCGTCAGCTCTTGCTTTTGGTAATCCCCTCCGGATGAACCGTCAACGAGGCCGCGTAGTATCATGGGAAGGAGCATAAGGTGATAGTCCTGCACCCATACCATGCTCCCGGGTGTGATTTGCGAGCGTACTGTTTCCGCAAATCGGAAGTTGGCCTGACGGTACATGAGCCAATTCTCCTCATCAAAGTTCATTTCTCCTGGATGGTAATGGAATAATGGCCACAAAATAGAGTTAGAGAAGCCGTTATAATGCCCTTCTGCGACGTCATCGTCAAGATATACAGCTTGGCAAGAATATTCTTCCATTAGACGCTTGTCGACGTAAGCTCTGTCTTTCGGTGGAATGTAAAAGCCCGGCCAACCGATCCAGGTAAAGCTCAATGACTTCTTGAAACCGGAGAGGGCTGATACGAGCCCTCCCGAAGACATTTTGAAGTGGTATTCGCCTGAAGCATCTTTCGTGATTGTGATGGGTAGACGGTTGGCGACGACGATGAGATGTTTGCCCTCCATATCTGCAAAGTTTTCGGCGGAGGTTGGGAAGAGAGAGGGTGCCATGGAGAGATGAAATTTATAAGTGAACAGATCTCTTTGGAAACATGCAGAAGAGGCCGAATACGGGTGATTATCGGATCTCTCGTGATGAAATGGTAGAAGGGCAGCGAGAAGACTGGCAAACGTTTGTGTGATCAAAGTCCTATCGCGAAATATGTTTAGATCGATGGCTGGAGACGCTTGTCGATTGACCCTGGATGACGGTGGGTTGAGTTTTAGCTGCCTACACTCCACTGTCCTGCGTCATGACCGTATGGGAATCTGCACCACGGTCCCGCTAGTCCGAGTTTGGACTATCCATCAGTCCCTGACTTTTATGCCCGTACTGCAAAAGCCAGTGAGAAACGCACACATCATCCAACGTGTAGCGATGAAGGATGATTATCTCCAAGCCATATATGTAAAGTCTACGTAGAAGTATGAATAGGCGCCTTGCAATCTTCTTCATTTGACTTATATATATTTATGGGGATCATTTGATCAACACGAGTGAGTCTTCTTATCAGCTTGCATGTGCATTAGACGATATGCGTGACAGTACATAACATGACATGATGCGTAATCTAGTCGAAGAGACCGAAACCCTGTAGACCAGCGCGTGAGGGCTATTTCCATTTGTGCAGACCAAGAGCAACTTACCATGTCATCGTCAGACTCCTCCTTCTCTTCGGCCTTCTCCTCAGCCTCAGCTTCAGCAGCAGCGGGTGCGGCCTCAGCGGCAGCAGGTGCAGCAACGGCAGCAAATGCTTCAGGGTTCTCCAAGTAATCCTTTGCCTGCGTGAAGAATTAGCTTCGTTGTTCAGCACGGTAAACTCGGCAAAAATTCAGAAACAAGATTTGTGCATCCGTTAAAGTCAGCATTTTCAGTGTGTATGTTTGAAGCATCTCGATATTAAATGAATCGAATTTGAGCTGACCTTCTGGGCACCCTCGAAGATGTAGTCGGTGGACAAGCACAAAGCAATGAGGTTCTTGTACGAGTTGACAAGGGAGTGCGTGACCGAGACGAGGGTGGGGTAGTTGAGGGCAAGTGAGATGGCAGCAATGGTCTGGATACCGGACAAGAAGCGGTCGATGAGCACCTGCTCGTCGATGTCGAGAACTTCAGGAGCGAACGCATTTCCAGAGTCGAAGATCTGGACGACAGTCATACCGTAGGTGAACGGTGAGATGTTCAACATGTTGAGGAGAGTAGCCTCGGATGGGCCGACACGGCTACCAGCGGTAACGACCTGGACCTCGGCCGAGATTTCAATAGTACCACGAGCGATCTTGGTAGGGATACCGAGGGCCTGGAAGAAGGAGGTCTTTCCGGGCTCCATACCGGTGTTTCCGGCAGGGACGAAGACATCCTTGGGGGCATAAGCACCAGCACGGGCGGGGGCGGCAATCTTGTTGGCAACAATGATGTCCCTGACCTCTTTGAGCTCTTTGTCGGTGAAGACGAACCCAATGTTACCCCTGACGTGGGGAAGAAGACGCTCAAACTGGGGGTTCTCCGAGAGGATAGTACGAAGAGCACGGCGAACCATGGTGTTCTTGCCCATCAAGACGACACCTTTGCCACGGAGAGCAACACGAATCTGGTGCATCTGGTTGGAGCTGACATTGTCAACGTTGACGATGAAGATGGAGGCTGCAGGCGCGTTTTTCAAAAAAGGATCGTTGGATAAATAAAACTATTGAAACGCACAATATTTGGAGATGAGTTCCTTTAGTTTGACGAAGTAAACTTCCTTTTGCGCGCGAGTAGCACCCATTGTGATTTCTGATGCACTAGTTGAAATGTCAAGACAGGGTGATAAGTTATGTTAACTCACATGAATATACAGATGTGATTGTTTTTAAGTAAAAATCAGTGCCTCCCGATTGACCTCTGAATGTCTGTCAGCAAAATTACCATTCTCATCTAGCACTACGCACCAGCAGCGTGCCAATGGATTTTTCAAGGCGACCGACGATGAGGATAATGTGAATATGTGTATCCGGTGTTCCCGCTAAAGTTTCGATCGACCGGGAAATGCCTTGCAGTTCAAAAAACAAGGTTTCGAGTCCGCCGGGGAATTCCGATCCTTTGGTTCACCTTGTAACGTGACGTGTAACGCGTCGTGTTCCCAATTCGTCCATGCCATGGAATGTTGCGATGCTGTCTGTCGACCGTCCGAGTGTTGGGCGGCGTCGACGGAGCTCAAAGAATCAGGTTTTTAGTTTTGGTTTCATAATATCAAACGCGTGACCTTGACCGTCGTTCAATTTTAGGTTACTGTCTTCTGCTAGCGCCCATGTCCAAGAATGCTTGCACCGCAGTACCGGGACTCAGAACAAGAGCAAGCAATCTCTCATGACATCAGAAGATCCTCAGGAGTCTGGCCCGTCCAATAGCACTCGCGCTATAAGTGCTCTCCGGAAAATCCTGACGTCCTCTACCCTGCTTCCAGACCCTTCCAGGAGGCCGACACCCAATACTATTCATTCTTTTTACATCTCAGCAAAAGCACGGGGCCAATTGTCGCAGCTCGACTCAGGAATGCTTAGCGCTTTAATTGGTCTTTTTGGGTCCTTGTCTGTTGACTCGACAAGAACATGTGTGTATACTAGTCCACTCCTTCCTTATGTGAAAGATAGTCCTGTATCTCGTGACTACTGGGCATTTGTGAAGGAGGTTGTATCATTCAAGCGCCAGAGGGGCATGGCACTGGCGCATTCAGATAGATATTGGATGATGCGAGCGGAGTTGGCGAGCCTTTCCCCCTCTAAAGATGGCCAGCCCGGTTGTAAGATAATCTATCACGTTCGTTCATAGCTCGGTCTAATTAATTTGAGCAGACACCCACAAATTTGATCGCACTCTGTTCCGCGCCCGAAAACAATACCTCCACTTTTCTCGACACGTTTTCGATCCAGATGTTCACGTTCCATATTTGACAGCACTTTTGTCGAGCACGGACCCTCTTCACAAGCAGTGGGCCATTGATGCGATAACCAGCATCCTTCTCACTCATCCATTTCTTCATGCGAAAGTTATGAAAGTGTTACTGGGGATAGTTCATGACACTGACACCGCGCTTTTGGAATCTATCCTATCAGCCATTTCAATCCGGGTCACTCATTTTCCGTCGCCATGTGGGGGCACTGCGGGGGCTTCTATATCTGTACCTGTTGATGCTACCACTTTCACATCCGCTCTCTCGGTATTTCCGTTGCCCATACCAAGTCCCTCCCCCCATATGAAAGCCATTACGGAGTTGCTGCACGAGGCATTTTCATCCAACGTTCCACTAGTCCATCGGCGAAGCAATCTCCTTCTGTGTTCGCTGCTGTATAGCTGCAACGGCAGTGGAATTGCTATTTCATCGCTTGATTTTCCTTTGGATGGATATGCATCCTTATGGCAGACCCTGTTTGCCCTTGCGATTCTCGAAGAGGTTACGCGAGCCGCGGGTCCAGCCCTTCTTCACGATCGTGCTCTCCGCGGACGTATTCAAGAGATGATACGTTCTCTTCATGAGTCCTGGCTGCACCTCATGTCTAATGAATCACCCCCCACCCTCATTTCACGTGCTGTTACGACTTCTCTTTTTCGCCTCTCTGGTGCAGTAGTGGATCCGAAGCTATTTGCAGCGTACCTGGAGTCGAGTATAAACTTCGGACTTTGGACCGGCGATTCTTCGGACACCGTAGAGGGACCCCAATTAGCAGCAATGGCAGCGATGCATCTTGCTACATTGATGCAAGTCCGTGGGTGTGGAGCGGAATTCATCATGAAGACGTTGAGTTCCTACTCGACTGACGTGCAACAACAAAGTGTTGTAATGTCTGCGGCTGTCAAGGACCTCATTCATCGTAATGTTGAGCTCGCCCACGCATTGTACAACATCGCTGTCCGCAGTGGACGAGACATCGATGTCGATACCGCATATCTTCTAGCTAGGGCACTCCCACCTGTTCATGCTGTGGGGTTTCTTAAGCATGAACGATTTTCTCGAATACAAGTGGGAGGCCTCCTGAGCAGTATTGCTCGTTTTCTCAAGGAGACGAGGAATGAACATTATGACACTGATCTGATCGATGACATTGGGATTTCCCTCCGCAAACTCTACTCGATCTCTCCTCCTCCCATTCACTTCCGTGGGCATCTTCAGCTTCTTCTAGCCGAGCTATGCACTCGGGGCAGTGGGTTCCAGACTACGGCTATTATTGCTAACGTCATCAAATTCTACCCGGCCTTCTTTCAATTCTCGTTCTTGTTGCGGCTAGTTTACCTCTTTTTGCGCCGCAGGCAATTCCGCTGCGCGTTGCGAATCCAGAAAATTTTAGTTGGCACACACCGGGGATGTGTTCCTAACCTTCGTCACATGGTCAATACACGCCTCGGTGTGACAGCTAGTGGACGCATATCCACGAATATTTTTATCACAGGGCGCAAGTCGCATACCCTATTTCGAGGTGGCTGTTTCTGGGCAGCGGGGACTTTATTCAAGAGCGGTATGAGCAGTGGCCCGGTATACAACAGAGTTCTGCAAGGTTTAATATACGCTAGGCGACCGCATGCTGCAAAGGTCGCTTTCAGTCGTGTTGCAAGCAAGGTGGACACCAAAAGCCGGACGATCCTAGGCAACACGCTTTTGCACGGTGTCGTTACACGTCCGGTCCCGAGAAACGGCAGGCGTGTCCGGAAGCTCTTGGGACTCCTCGACAACCTCGTGAAGTACGAGCAGTTTGCGCCCGACAGGATAACTGTCAATATCATCCTGAAGGCGTTGATAGTCTGGAGGACTGCATTCGATCATCAACATTTACGTGCGCTGTTCGACCACATGGTTCGTGGTGGATACCCCGCAGGGATTCACTCTCCTTCCCATCCGCCCTTCAGCACTCCGCTTCTGCGCACCAGTGGAACACTCACGCTGTCGAAGCTTCCACCTTACATATCGTTTGAGAAGCATGCGAAGCCGATGCTCAAGATGTTTATCAAGGCATTTTATCTACGGAATGATGTAGAGGCTGCGCGTACGGTAGTAGAGATTTTGAAGATCGAGCAGAAGAAGACTACATTGCAGAGAGAGCGACGGTCAGTGGCGCGTTTGAGAGGGTGGATGGAGGCCGAAAATAATACGGGCCGCAGGGATCACACGAGTCATGTTCATAATGATAGATCATAATAGACTTTAGTTGCCACTATGGAGAGGCACTGTTGAAAAAATTTCCGTCTTTTATTCATTGCATCTTGCAATCAGAGCTCTGAGTAGTTTTGACCACGTGATGGTAACGTTTGTCACTTATTTGTGGCTGTGCTTGCTGTATTACTTCATTTTCAGTGACACTCCGAGTGTTTGATAAACGACCACCACCTACGCTCAACTTCACTAGTTCACTCTTCAACATATCGATGACTACAGAAGTTGTTTCCGTCAGCAGTTCAGATCCAGGCTCTACAAGCTCATCAATGTCTATCCGAGCTACTAAGGTAAGCAGAGGATTTGAACCTAACAGGCCCCTACTGAGCAGCATGTCTCAGCGCAAATTCGATGATGCCCTCCAAAGCCTCGACAGTGCGGTAGCTCCAACGAAGACCTTACCCGAAAGGCCAACAGCTCCCAAACGGCCACACATGACCCGCTCTCTTTACTCTACGCTCGCCAAGTATGGGATCCAGTCCAACATCCCCAAACCACCCATCGAGTCAGTCAAATTTCGCGGTTTACGACTTGGAAATCTCTGAACTTGCTTTCGTCTTGCTCTATTCTCAATAGTACTCTGGATAAGCATGATATTTCTAAGGCTGCTCCTCACCTGGCTGCGATCTTGGCACGCTCCAAGAGCAAAGGAGCTGCCCCTTTTGCACATCCTAGTCTTCCAGTATCAGCTTCGCTCTCCTCAGAATACCGACCATCATCCACTCAGTCATTTTTATCCCGCCTATCGACCTACAAGTTGACGACATACGCAAACAAGCCGCCCCAAATTGATGCTGTGGCTGCAGCGAAGTGCGGTTGGATAAACGATGGCAAAGACAGGCTAGTGTGTGGAATTTGTGATGTTTCATGGGTTGTTGCGGGGCGAGACGGCATGACACGAGAAGCCGGTAAGGTTTAGAAGGTAGGTAAATGACAAGCTACACCGCTGAGCGTTTTTCTTTCGTACCATAGCCAATGCGTTTGTTGAGAAGCAGCGCATCCAGCTAGTAGAGATGCACAAGGACGGATGTCCTTGGCGTACTAGGCAGTGTGATTGTGAGTTCTTTCGTCAAGATGTACCTAGCCTCCTTCCTCACCCAATTCATTAGCGTCGATTTACCGCGTGCCGCTTCAAGCACCGACTGCCATGGCACGGGACATCAAATCCAATGCACGCTCTCTAGAGCCTCTGTTGACAAACGTCGTGATCAAACATCCATTGGTGGGTTGGACTGCAGCATTTTCCTGTGCGGTGCTTATTCATTCCATCAGTCGGCCTCTCAGCTTGCCTCGCTTCGTTCAGCAATTACCTCAGTCAAGCCTCCTCAGGCCCAATCAGAATCCGAGAATGAGTCGGCAATGCAGGTTGATGCAGAACCTGAGCCATCTGATACCGCAATTATGACTGCCCTCTTCGGCTGGTCATTGGCCCCGCCTGCTCCTCCCTCGGAACGTAGTCGCACTTCGTCACTTTCTCGAATAGCTACCATGTCCAGACCAGCTTCCCCGTCTCTGTCTAGATCTCCATCAGTTTCACGTACCGTTCAGTGGGGTCGGGCAGATTCACCATCTCCGATGCCCTCTTCGCCCCTTACTAGTATTTCACAGTTGGGAGGTACACCCGTGCGCACGCGAACACCACGGCTGAGCGACATCGGGAAAAGCGCCCGGGAGGCATCTCTTTTACACTGTTCCTTGTGCCAACGACGCGTCGGCCTTTGGGCATTCACACCTCAGTTTGCTTCATCACCACTAGACGGCAGCCCGCTACCACATGCGTCAACAAAGAAGAGGGAGTTTGATGTACTGAATGAACATCGATCGTATTGCCCATTCGTCGTCCCTTCGACGGTGGTACCGAAACTACCCATGCCTTCTACCTCGCCTGCTTCTGCAAATGCAGCGGCAGATGGCGCAACCGAGGGTTGGCGTACTATGCTGACCGTTGTGCTTCGACACGGCTTGAGTGAGCGGCAACGGAATGCACGCTTATTACTTTCCGGAGGGGACAGCGAAATAATGCATGGTATTGACGACGAGCTTGAAGGTGTAGAAGCTATGGTAGCGAGTGTAAAGAGCAAGGGGGTAAGTTCATGCGTGCAACTAGACAGTCTCGATTCAAAACTAATTGCACATCTTGCAGGGACGAGATCTATTGAAATATGTCAAAGGACTGCTGGGTTGATGTATACATTGTATTTGCTTGCTTTCATCCTTTGATTCGGACAAAATGTACATGTATTTCCAATCTCGATATCCCACAAGAAAGACTCATCTGTATCAGCTTTTGAGATCGCTGGTACAAGTAGGAATCTACCAAGTATGCTAATCAAAAATAATTATCGGCGGAAACACAACGATATGCGGGACGTACAATCCGAGAAGAGGATCAACCGGTAAAGTTTCGCACATTCTGCGGAAAACCCCGTATGCCCTTCCTCTCGAAAATATTGTATGAAGTATCAGCAGTGTTCACCAACTGAAAGGAGCTCATAACAGCATGCTGCAACACATTAATGTCAATGTCCGGGACCAGAATGTGGTTGTACGAAATGATAGTTCGAAGCGGGCTACAAGATTGTATGTCGGCTTAGCCTGTATCGTCATTTGCCATTTGGTGTGAGGATTACTCCATGTCCCATTGCCTTGAAGTCTGCAAGGCAGTGGGACATGGAGCAACCCTCACAGGTTGCAGTCCCATCGTAGAATCCGCTTAACACTCGCCGACTATCTCGACTCCAGCAGACAGAACACACGAACTGGGTACGTCCCATCCATTTTGCGATGACTTTGCTTTAGTCGATGTTCCACAACCTCACTGCACCGTCGTGACTCTCGCCAACCACCTTCTCGTTCGAGACAACATTATCACCCGTACTTCAATATATCCGTCTTGCAAGTCTTCTCCTATCTATTTCCCACTCTTCAAGCTCAAGTTCCATACCCGCAGCGAGCTGTCCTGACAAGTCATTTGAAGCCTTTAGAGTGTATCAGAGGCACGGGTGACCTAAACTAGGACGACGTTGTCTACATAGGTGCATGTAGACAACTGAACCGTTTCGTTCGAGAATAGTAAGCATTCTATAATCATTAGACTGAATTTGATACTCAAGGCCGTCACAAAGACCACAGATGTTCTTGATGTGCGAGCATTCATCACTGGAATGTCCTGGTGTTGAGCTGCTGACCGTTCACGAGGTCTTCCAACCCATTACCGCCGATTTCGTTATCCGATTGAGTTTTCCCCTCGTTCACTCGTACCTGTTCCAGTACATGAATGTGCATTGCCGTAGGCCCGTAGTGACGTGTAGCGGACAGAAATAAGCAATGAATGCGCCCAGGACGCAGAACGGTATCGTGCGGTTCCGCTTCAAACGTTTTCTGCTCCCTTTATTTTCCTTTTTTGGATGCCAGCGGTAAGCCATTGGGGGAGAGCTGGTCCAGCAGAACTGGCTGCGGGAACCGCTCAGTACGCCATTCATTAATATTCATAAGTTGTATTCCAAAACACTCATTATACATGCTCATGGACATCCTTAAGTTCACATTGTTTGACCTTTCCCAGAAACCGACCGACTTTGCCACGGGACCGGTGCTAGACGAAGTATGCATTAGTGTCAGTGTTTGGAGTGAAGTATGAGCTACAAAACAAACATTTTAGATGTGCAGGTTTCTTGAGTCGAATCCGCCATGAGTTGCCTTTGCTCGTTGTGAGTAGCAGTTGAGGTGAAGACAGGTCCCACATCTTGGAAGCCATACTATTTGTAAGTTGCAGCGCTGTTCTGATGTTAATACACAGAAGGTAAACCTAAGACACTATTGTACTATAGCAATATGAATATCGTATCCGCAATTGCTTGAACCTGAACTTAGAGGTTCATGTTAGAAAACAATGCACCGAGATTAACCCAGCATCGTCCACATTGTTCCATATATTTGTCCACTGTCTTCGACATCGCCCTGAGGAATGGGTCGTTGTTTGCTGCAACAGCCACGATTTCCTCTGTATGCAAACTGTCAGATATCTCGGTTGGTTGATGAACTGCATTAACGCTTACCCTTTCTCGCGCTGCCCTGTGCAGCCTTGATGATTTTCTCAATGTCAAATAGTGTCGAAAAATACCGGAGCTGGGTGTACAGCTCGGTGTCCCCGTACTTGAACTGCACTCTACCTTTACAGCCTCCCTGCGCTCCGCACCGCCAGCCATACATCCGCATCGACCGCGTCTCGTACCCACACGCTGCGTCATCGCAGACAATCCATCCCTCGTAGTACTGTGCCACAAACGACCGAATCTGCACCTCAAGCTGCGTTTGCAGGCTCGCCGAACCCAGCGGTGCGCTGCACGCGGGGCAGGTTGGCCCTGATGACAACAGAATCGACGCCTGTTTGATGTCAGACAGTCCTAAGTACAAATTGGGATGCGGTCACATACATCTCGATCGTAGACCGGAGGAAACGCCATCTGTCCTGCGCACCCGCGGCAGCGTACAAGGAACGGAGCCACGTCGCGGAACCGCTCTGCATCAGAGACAAGGGAATCTAATGTTGTGAGTGTTGATCCGGCCGGCGTGCTTCCACTAATACGATAACGTCCCGGGTCCAGTCCTTTTAGAAACGTTGAGTTGAGTTTAGTTTGCAGGCATCGGTGTTTCAACGCTCACCAAGGCACTCAGCAAGCCGTGCCCTATCTGTCCCTTCAATAGGCTCACACAGTCGCTCAATAGGTGGTAGGACCTGGTTAGCAAGGTAGTGCTCGTAATCCACGGTAAGTTCCCCTGCAGCCCTCTTGATTTCGTCTGGATGCTTGGCGCGATCTGCTTGTGCGGTCTTCACGGTCTCTTCACCAGGAGCGACACAGAACACATAGGGGATAACGTCGCCGTTACGGGCGCTTCCACCCTTTGCTTTTAATCTCAAAGCGACTTGCACATGAGGCTGAGATTTAGCATCGGGGTAGTCTTCTGGGTTTTTGCCTAGGCGCTGAGCCATGCGTGAGATTGACCAAGAAACATCGAAAGGAGTTTTTGGAG